AAGAGTAGGAAACTTAAGCTTCTTAACTAGTTCCATATAGCCTTTGGAGTAATTTCAAATCCTCCCTTCCAAAGGAATCGGGCCACTCTTCTGATAAGTGTTCTCGTCTTTTCTTGTAGCTTGGAATAAAAAACAAATGGTGGAAACATAGTTCTACCCACTATGTTGCACTCAACAGATCTTCCCTCAGCTAAAGGCAGTCAAAGAGGGATTGTTCACCTCTTTTATAAGAGATTAACTCTTTTCTTTTGCATTTTGTATAAAGTGATTCCATGCCATTCCTATCCCAAGATCCTTGACGTTCAGCTTTTTAAATAATCTCCCAGCAGGATGCTCCCAAGCTTGAAAACTTGCTCTGACTTCAAATTCGTGATTTGTTCCTTTTCCATTGCCAACAATGGAACAGCCATTGCCAACTGACCTCCCCTTGTTTAATGCATTGAGTGCCTCTTTGAAGATTTCTTCTCACAGTTACTGATTAAAACAACGTCAGCTCACCAAAGTACACCGCAAAATGATCAGTTCGGCTTCAGGCCTATGCACCCTTTGGTTCTTCATGGGAGACAAAAGGAAGAAAGCTAGGAAGAACAAGCAAGGGTGAGGAAAGAGATCTTTCACTTACTGGAACTCTTGGCTAAATGGCAAAGAATCCCCTTGTATGTAAATGTGTAATTCTTTAACCAACAGAATCCATAGTATGCCCTCTCTGCCTGCCTGGGTGGGATTGGTCGATGGGATGAGGTGATTCCTTGAGTAACCCAAATCTGTGGGGGCAGGCTTTAAAAGCGATAAGCAATACCTTGAATTGGATCTGGAAGCAAATTGGCACCCAATGTAGCTTGCATAGCAAAGATGTTACATGAGCAACCCTAGGGGTGCCCAGAACTATTCATGCCATTACATTCTGCACCAGTTGTAGCTCCTGGATAGCCTCCCATAGAGTGCATTGCAGTAGTCCCTCCAGGAGATGGGCATGAATGATTAAAAGGACAGCTTCTCAAATCAGGAAGGGGCATACCTGAAGTTAAACTAAGGCCTTCCGAGTCATAACTGCCCCCTGCTCCTCAAGCAGGAGTCATGAGTCCAAGAGGACTCCTTAAATTACGGTACCAGTTTCATCTGGGGCAATGCAACCCATCCAAGACCAAAGGTCAAGATACATTTGCTTTCATATGCAAAGTAGCCAAGAGGCTGCTGGCTATGATTCCATACAAGATCCCATCAAAAACAGACAAATATGTTCAAGCCAATGTAAAAGAAAAATAAAACTTTCAATCAGCAGGAGGAAAACACATTCCATGTTGAATTTGTGATGGGAGGGCAGTGAGTACATGTGAGAAATACATTTCCTCAGTTCCTGCCTTCAAATAATTGCTGTCTTGCTCCAGAGACAGCAATCAGCCTTTACGAACAAGCCCCAGCAAGGGATGGAGATTACAGTGGCTAAGATTTAAGCTAAGAACTAACAGTTCTCAAGCCAGTGCTAGTAGCTGTATTAATCCCTTGACAGCTGCTCAGAGTCAAGTTTGGGTCATACTGTAAAGTGCATGTTCATTTATGGAAACATTGGGAAGAAAATTAAAAACTACAGGTCTGAATCCCTCTGAATAGAAGAGGCACATTCACATTGGATGTGGGCAATCCTCGGTCTCATTTGGCATCACTCTTGTCTGAGCTAAAGGTTCTAATAAAGACAAGACCCTACTTCTGAGGCTACTACTATCCAATAGCCAAGTTAAGACATGTAAAATCAGGAGGGTCCTAGTCAGTGGTGAGATTCAAAAAAATTTACTACCGGTTATGTGGGCGTGGTTTAGTGGGTGTGGCGTGGCTTGGTGGGCGTGGCGTGGCTTGGTGGATGTGGCAGGGGAAGGATACTGTAAAATCTCCATTCCCTCCCCACCCCACTAACCGGCTTTCCAGCTCCGTTCTCCTGTGCAGGGCAACCAAAGAAGACCCAGCCGATCATCTGGGACTTGGGAGACAGAGAATAGATGGGGGTGGGGCCAGTCGGAGGTGGTATTTGCTGGTTCTCCGAATTACTCAAAATTTCCACTACTGGTTCTCCAGAACTGGTCAGAACCTGCTGAATACCACCTCTGGTCCTAGTCAGCAATAGTATAATAGGTTGCTTTTGGTTATATCGTCACCCCCAGGGCATCAAAAATGCAAAATGATAGCTATGGCCATGCTATCAAAGCATGAAGCAGATACCCCCCAAAAACTCATTCTAAATCATACACAAAATAGTACAGTATGTCCTGTTTGGCCAGGATTGGCTAGAGGTCAAGGCACAAGATCAAAAAGTCTTGTCAAATAATTTAAGTTATATTATCAAGAAACATTCTCCGGTTGTCTTAACTTTCATTCTTAAGTAATCTATTCTATTATGTATACAGATTAGTTTTTGTGCAAGAAATGCACATCTATGCTGCCACCTTGTGTAAATATGGGGTCCAAGCAAGACGAAGCAATGCACTGAAATAACTTCAAAGCTGAATTAGTTGTCAAAAACAAAACCAGAGCCTGGGACATCCATCAAAAACTTACCTAAATATTTTTTACTTGCACCTTCTCTGTAGAGAATTGTTATAATGTTTGTTTATAATGCGTGTAAGTCTTGTCACAGTGTCCTAAAAAAATAATATCACTCTATACAGCACTTGTAGGACCAATAAGATTTTGAACACTGTATTTAAAATGCTATTGTTACTCAAAAACATTGTTACTCATATCTTTCTTTAGATGAGAAAGAGAGTCACAGAATGAGACTGAAAGATTTCAAGGTCTGCTATTCAAAATATTTATTTAAGGGTGTACATTTTTTTTAATGCATCCCAATTCCTGACAGCTACTATAACTATTACAACTATTAAAATTCGGTTCTGGTTATTACTTAATGGGAATTAGCCATTACCTCCTACTATTTTCCAGAAAGCATGACAAGCTTTGCATATAAATTTAATAAATAAATAAAACTTGATAAGGCAGGCAGTTGAGTCTTCCTTAGGCATTATCAATGGAATAGCATTTATCAGAACTATAGACACATAGCCCTATACCCTGTCACACACTTTCTTGCACCCGCAATATGTGTTGCCTGGAGCACCCATCTCTCTCTCTACTTTATCACAGCAGGTTAACCTGCCACCCTTGAAATATTCAAAATGTCAGTTGAGAATGTAGGGTTAACCTGGCAGCTCATAACTGAATAATGAATTCATTCATATAATGAATTATTATATGAATAATATAAAAGCATGCAACTGAATTTTAGTTTTATATTACTCATTCATTGCAGTAGCCTGAATCTGCTGTTGAACTGAAATGTTATAAGAAATAAAATATTTGAATACTCCAGCAACTTTGCACATTCAGAACAGTGGTGGTATTCAATTTTTTTTACTACCGGTTCTGTAGGCGTGGCTTGGTGGGCATGGCAGGGGAAAGATACTGCAAAATCCCATTCCTTTTCCACCCCACTAACCTGCTTTCCAGCTCCATTCCCTGTGCAGGGCAACCAAAAAAGACCCAGCCACATCAACTGGGACTCAATGGGAAGCAGAAAAGAGATGGGGTTGGCGGGGCCAGTCAGAGGCGGGATTTGCTGGTTCTACTCAAAATTTCCGCTACCGGTTCTCCAGAACCTGTCAGAACCGGCTGAATACCACCTCTGATTCAGAACTGAAAAATCAAGCAAGTTAACTTGTTTGATTTTGATCCTATTACCGTGTTTCTCCAACAATACGACCTCCCCCAGTAGGAAGACCCAGCATGTTTTCTAGGCATAAAATGAAATTAAGCCCCTCCCCCCAAATTTAGGCCTATTTTAGAACATGCAAAATGGGGGGAAGGGCGGGGGGACTTGCAGTTAGGAGCGCCCCGCGGGCAGCAATTCCTCGCCACCAGCTGCTCCTAATGGGCGATCATGGCAGAGCGTGGAGAGCTCCCTACTCCTGCCAAGCACCTTTGCGGCAGACCCAAGACCTTCAGCGCCTGCCGCTGTTGATTTCTCTTCTGCCCATGCCACCACCGCGTTTGGAGCTGCCACTTCCACGTTTGGAGCACCACTGCTGTTTGGAGCACCGCTGCCGTTTGGAGCTGACGCTTCTGCATTTGGAGCTGCCGCTGCGTTTGAAGCTGCCACTTCTGCGTTTGGAACCCCACCGCTGTTTGGAGCACTGCCGCTGTTTGGAGTTGCCATGTCCGCATTTGGAGCTGCCACCGCGTTTGAAGCTGCCGCTTCCGCGTTTGGAGCACTGCCGCTGTTTGGAGCACCACCACTATTTGGAGCGCCGCTACCACTCCAAACACGGCGACAGCTCCAAACGCGGGAGTGGCAGCTCCAAACATGACGGCGGTGCTCCAAATGGCGGCGGCGCTCCAAATGGCAGCGGCACTCCAAACACGGAAGCAGCAGCTCCAAACGTGGCGGCGGTGCTCCAAATGGCGGCGGCACTCCAAATGGCAGCGGCACTCCAAACACGGAAGCGGCAGCTCCAAACGTGGTGGTGGAATGGGCAGAAGGGAAAGTAACAGCGGTGGGTGCCAAAGGTCTTGGGTCTGCACCAAAGGTGCAGTAGGGAGCTCTCTGCGCTTCGCCATGATCACCCGTTAGGAGCGGCTGGTGGCGAGGCTGCCCACGGGGCGCTCTAGATGAGGATGCAAGGGGGGGAATTAAATCACCCCCGAAAAGACGGCCTAGCCGTTTTTTCGGGGCTCAAAAAAAATAAGACCTGGCCTTATTTTATGAGAAACACGGTACATATTTTTTTAGCTTCTTATAACTTTATACTTTATTATTTACATTGATTGCTTATTTAATAACCTAAGACTATGACAGAATGCTGTATCTTATGATTTATGATGTTTGTATTTTATTATTTATGATCATGATTTATCACTTGTTAATGTATGTACAATGAGAGCTTATGAACTGGAGACAAATTCACACTTGGCCAATAAATAATTATATTCTTTTCTATTAAACTGGCTAATTATTAACAACCAACAGGCAGGATGCATTCATTGGAGTTGTTTTGGTGTCTCCTCTTTGCTCTAAACAGGGTTATATTTAAACTAGGAAAATCAGAAATCATTTCCAGATGGAACAGTTTTTTGAATTGGTCCACAAACCAGTTTTCACTTTCCAGTCTGAACCTCATGGCCCAGATGATGGTGGTATTATCCATACACAAATGATCAAAGGTTAGAAGCAGCTCCTTCAGGTAAGGGTGGTCGTATACAACATCAGCAGCCAATATGTAGTCAAACTGAGATGAAGATCTGGGGAAATTCTTCTCCAGGTCCACCCCCCAGACCAACGCTTTCACCTTAGGCTCATGTTTGCATTTCAGTTTTGTGTTTCTGAGGAGATTGTACTGAAGGTTTCCTAGCACTTCAGGCAAGTCAGTGGAAACCACATGCGCACCTGTGACGAAAGGAACCACAATGATATTATTTATGGAGGAGAGTTGACGAAACTAGTGCAAATTCTTTTTATAATTCCCTGTGGCATAAGTAAAAATGATGAACTCTGGCCCACTGCAGGAAATACAATGCTTTTATGTGTTCTCCAATTCCTTACTTGATGAAATTCCAGACCAGTTTTGGATTATACTTTTGTAATATTTATTTAGCTTACAACCGTAAGCAGAGCAAACTTAAGCAGAAAGACTCTCTCTCTGATAATGTGACACTCCAAAACTGTACATTAAGTTTGTAGGCTGAATGAATCAATACGGGCTTACGGTCACATTGCCAAACTAGTCGAGAAGCTCACTAGATAACTTCAGACCACTTACCACAGGCTCTTCCATGTAACAGGACTAAACTGCTACTATCCAAGGTGTTTAAACAGGGCTGCAGTGAGGTTCATGGGAGAGGTTCATGGGAATAAAGCCCATTGCTCCCCATACTAGAATTTGATCCACATCAGCCCAAGTACAAACACCTAAGCAGTTTACTTTAGAAACTGATGAACCCCACAAATACTAATTTCAAGATTGGCATCTTATTCAAGGAGACTTTACCCTGAGAACAAATCAATTTTATCCCTGTTTTTCCACCTGTTTTATGTCCTTCAAGATACCAGTATCACATGTGCTATTTTTAAAATGGAGGCCACAGCAGGAGATGCTACCACTTACCAAGCAAGCTGGCTACTATAGACACGAGGCCTGTTCCAGCTCCAATTTCAACCACATTTTTGTCAACCAAGTTACAAAGCTTCACATTTGTTTCCAGAAAATAGCAGAGAACAAGAGCCTGAGAATGAAGAAGAACAAATTGTCAAATTTGAATAAGGATAAATTGGCAATTGGCAATTCTGAAAAAGAATAATGAAACAATGCCTTTAGCTCCACAAGGCCACCCTTTAATTACTGTAAAGTAACAAAGAGGAGAAACTTCAGCTTATATGAACAAAAGTATCTCTTGACACACAAAAATATGTATGAAAAGCATGAATCTTAGGAAGTTAGTAAAATACTCAGAAGTTCAAGGTTGTTTTATATGAACTGATTTTAGACAATTGACTAATCTAGGGTTTTTCAGATTATTTGGATTATAATGCTCCATCATATCTTAATCAACATGCCAGGGGACGGTGAGATTTGCAGCCCAAAACATAAGGAGACCAATAGATTAACTTCCTCTGCTGTAAACTGTAAAACTCCTGTATTGTCTTCCACAATTAATTACAAAGGGAGTTTATCTGGCCTGTTTAGCAAAGGGTCTTCTAGCATGATGCAATTAATTCCTGACTATGTCTATTCTAAACCTTGCCAACATTGTTATTGGTGCCATTCTGGATAGCCAGCATGCTACTGCCAAAAATGGAAACTAGGAACAATGTATTTCACTTTTCATCCAAAGCTGAAGAAGCTTCTTGGATGAGAAGCAAAACATCTTCAAAGAAAAAAAAAAGGAAGGTCCAGTTGTCCCTGGAAAAAGCACCTTTGGGGCAACCAGGACCTGGAAGACTGAGAATCTCCATAATATTTAGGAATAATATAGTGCTCAGAATTAAAATGGGGCAAAACATGCATACCATGTGAGGGGTTTAAAACTGCAGTTCTTGAGATTTATTTTTCTCCTTTTTCTTTAAATAAAATGCAATGTGAGCCACTAATTTCTATAAGACAATGGAACTGTCTCCATCCATTATCATTCCATCTAGCTGACTCATGGGTCGCAAAATACCCATGAATAACTACCAGGATCAAAGGTCTTTTAACCTTAAGACAACTGCTAATAAGCTAATTGCTACTGTGTATTTTTGTTTCATTCTTTTTTCATCTCTTTGTTTCAACTGTACACTTTAGTAATTGGCAGGTGAACATTTGCTTTGAAATAACATCTTTTACCCTCGATAGCTAACATTTTTAAATTACAATATAAATGTCACACAATACATTATTTTCAGATTCTGATATCTTCTTTAATAAAATGTTTAGGATCATACAAACCTATTGCACAAGTTGTTTGTGCAGGATTGGAACAAAGGTCTATTTAAATCAGGTTGAATTTCCAGAATAATGAACCAAATGTCTATTGGAAGCCCTAGTAAAATATACTATAAAGACAATTACCATTTTAATATCAGACACTTCTAACTGTCTGGGTACATCTCCATGTGCCTTGACCCCTGCTTTTACAATCTGAATGATGTGCAGAAGTTAATGTTTGGAGCAAACTGGTAGAAAATGATATTATCTAGTTGCAAAGGGCTGTAATTGGATGAAGTTGGAATCAAATGGGGTTAAAAACTTCTAGAAAAAGCAAATAGAAGATGAGATTAAGAGGAAATGAACTGTTGCTGCAAACAAAAAGTAGGACAACTTGGAGCCAGTGAAAGAATATAGAATTGGAAACTTCTTGACTAGGAAGTTGTCCCAAAGGGTAAACTAGCATAAAAAATAGTCAGCAATTAGAAAACTGTAACAATCATCTGAAAAGCTGGAACTGAAGAAGAACTGAAGAAGTTTAGTCTAGAAGGTTACTCTAGAAAGGGAGAGCTTAAGGAGAATAAGACCAGAAAAAGGGCTATTTGAGAGTAAATAAGAGATAAGGAGTGGGGTGGAATACAAGGCTTCTCTCCCTGCGGCATTCTGCTCAGCTGGGGCTCCATCCTTGCAAGTGTATTTGGAAATACGGATAAATAATAATAAAAGCAATAAGGGTAGAGTAAGGTAGGGTAAGGTAGGGTGAGGTGAGGTGAGGTGAGGTGAGGTGGAGGAGGAGGAGGAGGAGGAGGAGGAGGAGGAGGAGGAGGAGGAGGAGAGGAGAGGAGAGGAGAGGAGAGAAGAGAAGAGAAGAGAAGAGAAGAGAAGAGAAGAGAAGAGAAGAGAAGAGAAGAGAAGAGAAGAGAAGAGAAGAGAAGAGAAGAGAAGAGGAGTTCTGTCAATGGAAAGATAGGGAAAAGCTGGTGGATATTAACCAACAAGGAAAAAGTCTAGTGCAGAAAAATTGAGACCTCAAGAGCTGAAAGGAGAAGTGGACAGAGTCAAACAGGCCAGAGGAGGGGAGATCTAACCCAAAAGAAGTACTCACACAGTGAGATTTGGATGTTACAACAGAATTAAGTATCATCTAATGAATGATAGATGGTTAAATACTTCTGAAAATGCAACATGGGAATGGCCTACTTTTAAATTTGAAATATAGGCAACGGTCATAAAAAGCAATGTAGAGCAAATAAAATATATTCAGAATCTGGACTGAAACTGCCTAAGGAGCATTACTGATAAAAAAAGAGGTGGGCTATGCTTTTAATAAATCTAAGATAATTTAATGCTTCTGACCTCTGGTAAATTACATTGCCAAAAGATTCCCTTTTGATCCATGAATATTTAATCTGCCCAAGAATAGAGATGTGGAAGTCCTAATCTTATATATTCCACTGTGTGTGAACTTTCCACATTTATATTTTTGAGCATTATGTTTTTCAAATTTTACACAAAAAATCCAAATACATGTAGTGCTTATTTAGCAATCAGAGTGGGGATCAGCAATTCTGTGACACATGTTTGGATCATTCACTCCAGCACTGAGATAATTAGCAGGAAGAGATTTAATGGTTATATTTATATTCATTGGAGAGGAAGGGACAACAAGAGAGTAATGAAGTACACAATGGGAAATATACATCAAAAAAATGAGTTAGCATCATCTGCTTGCCTAGTATGCTTGGCAAACAGCTGGCACTTATTCATTCCTTTTGAGGTGTATTTCCCATTGTGTGCCTGTTTACTCCTTTTTAATCCCTTCCTCTCCTATTTATCTGCTCTGGGAGGAGAAAATAAAATGGTCAGGCACAGAAGAGATTGCTTTTTTAGGCAATCTCTCACACTGCAAGAAGGGTAAAAGAAGAAAAGGCAGGTCAGGCACAAGGTATGTATGAAATGATTGTAATGTGAAACATGTGACAGAGAGAGAGAGAGAGAGTACAAAGGTCATAAATATACACCTTGGTTGCAAAGGGGTTTTTTTTTTTTTTTTGCATCCTTATAGTTTCAAATGGGCATTCCATGAGGTATTTGATAAGCAAGGTCTACTGTATTTCATATACTAATCATTTTCCTTGGGGTCATAGGGTAGGTGATCAGAAATACCATGCCACGCAAGCGAACTAATGCAGGAGAGACAAGACTCCATCCTGGTCAGCCAACTTGCTTGCTTCCTGTGCTAACTGCTCTTAGCCCAAAACTAAATCAGAAATTCAGCGGACTGATAGAGGGAAGACAGTCCCCTCTGCATTAACAAGAAGGAAGTAAGGTAAGCTAATTACTACTATGGCCTTATTTCCAAGGCAGATGTAGGCCTATGGAATATGCTGCTGTACTTTGTTTCAGATACCAAAGCCAATAATATTGCATGACAACAATACCGAAGGCCAAACCACAGCTCCATAACTGTCTGTAGCTTCTGTAATCTTGATCCTGTGGCCAGCAAAATTGAATTCTTCCCAAGTGTAGGTGGTTATCAAAGAGGGACAGAAATATCGCCCCATGATCTCTGCAACTATGTCTTCATCTCCATTTTGTCCTAATTTAAAATAATAACAAGCATGTAACAATGACAGTGACAATAAGAATAACAGACATTTTAAAAATAGTAATGGTAGATATCCCTTTTAAATAACAAAATATTTATTTTATGTCAGTGCTGGTAAAGGATTCCCCACAATAAAATTTTTAATGTATTTGTAGATATTATGCAGATATTCATAAAACTGTAATAACATAACTTCCTTTGTAATTCAGCAACAATGAAATAAAAAGTTTACCACAGTAGTAACAAGATGAATCTTCATAATTAGAAGACAGATATGGATCTAGGACAATTGGCCACAGCCACATGGCCATGCTCACTTCACCCTGCCCCCCTTACCACAGCTGACCCACCATGGGCGTTCATCCTCAGCTGGCCCTCTGCTAGCTCTCACCCCCGCGCTCCTCTCCCTCCCCCTCATCTTGAACTATTGGTCGAGGGACACTTGTTCTGAGCCAATTCACAGTGCGGGACAATTAGCTGAACATCCAGGCAACCAATCCCTGCACTGAGCAGTGAGTCTCTGCCTTCTCATTGGATGCAATCCTGCCAGCTTGGCTTTCTGAAATGCTCAAGTTCCTTCTCTGGCATTGGGCAGGCATTGGACAGGGGAGGAGGGAGAGACTTAGCCTCGATGGGAAACTTTTCAGGTCCTCACCTAGCACGGAGATGGTGTGGGATGTGGAGGGAGGGGAGAAAACATTGTGGAGAATTGGGGTGAGGGGGCTCCAATCTCTTCCCTGAAAAGCTGGTCTCAGGGAGGGAATGGCTGGCATCTGTAGTACGCAGGTCCAGATTGGGTATGATCAAGAAGACATGTGCCAATCACTTTAACTGTGCCCATTGAAGCTCTTTCACTCTTTAGAGTGCAGCAGCAGAGGTGTCTGGAAAGAGAGTGGGTGCCTGTAGCAGGTGAAGGATTCAGGGCAGCGCAAGGGTAGATGGGGTGACGGGTCCCTGAAGCTGCCTCTGCCAGCTGTTACAACTGGAGTTCCTAAGGGTGAAAGAGCTTCAATGGGAACAATTGACCCTGAGAGGTTTTCCAGCAAGGCAAAGAAAGTCACTCCCTCCTATCTAACCATAGTCCACCTCAGATGCCAGAGGAGGAATTTGAGCATTCAGAGTCGGTGGGACTGCATCCAAGGGGAAGGCAGAGAACCACCCCTTGGCATGCAGATTGGCAGCCAGGATACACAACTAATTGTCCTGTGCTGCGAATTGGCCAGGGACAAGTGTCCCTCAGCAAATCACCAAATGGGCTAATTTGCAGAATATGTCCGAAATCCATCACTTGGGATTAAAATTTGGCAGAATTATGGCCATTTCAGCATTGTGACATCTTCCAATTGTACTTCTCAGAAACCTGTAAGTTGTGAGATACAAAAGAAGATTTATTTATTTTATTTTTATTTATTTTTTGTCAAAAGCTTACAATACAATAGAAATAAGAATAAACATAAGTTTAAATACAAGAAATAGGGAGTAATAATTGGGGACAATAGGACAGGGACAGTAGGCACGATTGTGAGCTTATGCACGCCCCTTACAGACCTCTTAGGAATGGGGTGAGGTCAATAGAGGTTAGTTTGAGGGTAAAGGAGTGGGGGTTTGAGCAGATGACAACAGAATCAGGTAGCGAGTTCCAGACATTGACCACTCTGTTGCTGAAATCGTACTTCCTGCAATCAAGTTTGGAGTGGTTTACATTAAGTTTATATCTGTTGTGTGCTCTTGTGTTGTTGTGGTTAAAGCTGAAATATTCATTAACTGGAAAGACGTTGTAACATATGATTTTGTGGACTATGCTTAAGTCCAATCTTAGCCGGCGTAGTTCAAGGTTGTCTAAGATGGGAGAAGCTTATCCCCACCCTCCTTCCTGTTTCTCTTTGGCCCCTGTATCTAATTGGATGGCAGCAAGGCTCAACGAGCAAGGTAGAGCTGGCTTGAGAGCACTGGCAGTCACTGGGTGAGCCCTCTTCTTCCCTGGAGGGAGGGGGCTCTTGGGAACACACCAGAAAAAGAATCAAGGGTGTAGTTTTCCTCACAGCCGATAGCTCCCTTGGTTCTTCCTTTCCCAGGCCAAGTGGCAGGCAATTCCTTGGGTCAGCTGTGAAGGGGATGAAGCTTCACTGGGACTCTCCTGAAGGGTCATGAGGGTCATGAAGCTTCACTGGGACTCTCCTGAGGGTCATGAGGGATAGAAAGAAGCACAAGTCTATATGGAACGAAGACTGACCTAACAAGTCATGGATTGTCTAGTTCACGTATGAACTACAAGCTGGATTGCTTGTTAGACCAGTTGAATCTAGGTGGTCATTTAACCACCATTGAATACAGCTCAACTAATGAGTCAGGGGATAGAATTTGGGAAAGAAGCAGCTTTATGTAAAAATATTCCAAGTTTGAGCATGAGAACAGAAAAGTGGGGGTGGGGGAAGAAAAGCACTGGGAACCAGTAGTGACCTGCCACTCCTTTTCCTGTCAGAAAGACTTCTCATGAGCAAAAGATAAAAGTGAAAAGGTAGAAATATTGGTTCAATTAATTCAGAAGTATTAATTGTCGGTCAGTCTCCATATTTCCTATTTACAAATCCGAGAAATTAACACCATTTTAAAAAAAATAGTAATATGTTATACGGTGTGGCATGAATCAATTTTCAGATAAATTGCCTTGGGATGTTTTTATTAAAAAAAATAGTCATAATTTCATTTGCACACTGCAGAAATCAGATTATGATTGCAGGAAAGTGTTTCTGTTCTAAAGGACTAAGAGATTTACTATTGCAAAAAAAGAGAATTGATTACCAAGCTGGACAAATTTAAAATAAGACTCATGCTCTTAAACGCAATCAATGGCTAATAATCATTAGTTATATATCATGTTTTCCCCAAAAATATGATCTACCCCAAAAACAAGCCCTAGCCTGATTTTCACGCCTGCACCTAATATAAGACCTACCCCCAAAATATGTTAAACCCCACCCACAGTCTGGTTGTATGAGGTGAGGTGAAGTGCAGGTGTAAAAATCAAGTTAGTGCAAGGGTGGGGGAGAAGCTGCCCCATGGACCCCTCACCCACTTACCTTAGGACTGCTGCAGCCAGGCCTCCCATACTCCAACACCTGTCGCACCACAGCCCAACTTTTCTGCAGCCGCTTGCAGCTGCTTGTGGGCAGACACCACATGGTGCATTGCACTGGTGCCGCCACTTGCATCAGGACGCTGCATGGCTTGTCACACCAGTGATGCTACTCGTGGCCAAATGCCGCAAAAATTCATTGCTCCAGTGTCACCGCTCATGGCAGAATGCCACAAGCCTCATTGCACTGGTGCCACCTCTCTTGCGAGCAACAGGACAACACAGCATGTAGCCTCCTGCTGTGAGCGGTGACACCAGCATGACGAGCCACACAGCAGACAGCTTCGAGCCGCTGCAAACAGCCGCAGAAGTCAAGCAGAAGCAAGACAGGAGTCGAGGCATAGGGGGCGTGGCTGTGGTGGCCCTAAGGAAAGCAGATAAGACATCCCCCCAAAATAAGACCTATACTGAGGGAACACATTAGCCTTTGGACATATCTGGTGTAACTCTTCTTATACAAGAAACTGATCTTAGGGCAAATTTCAGCTTTTACTAGATGTTAAGAATTAGCTTTGAATGAACTATGCTTATCCTCTCAAATTAGTTTTGGTACCCAGTTGCAAGAAAACAATGAACATCAAGAGCATCATGCCCTCAAAGTCATGTAATCAAGTCATGACATGACTTTGAAGAATTCTCAGCCTGTCCAATTAGAGAAACCCTATATTGTGGCAAGGTGTTTATGTGATAGAGTTGGCTCCTTGGCCACATTCTTTTTCTAGATGGAAATGACAAAAGGCCTATACAGAAATTGGGCAAATTATTTTCCAAATATTATGCACTTAAAGATGTTTTCAATGGATTAAAAAAAAGTTAAATTTCAATGTAGGTCAGGCTGAAATGAAGGGAAATTACCCCTTTTCTGCATCATTTTCTAGTTAAAATCATAACTTCTAATTTTCCTTCAAGTATTACTTTTACTATATTGGAAAAACATAGACTGAACATTCTATACCTGATATGACTTGAAAAAAAATACCTATGGTCACTAGATAGCAGCCATGAGATAAAGAAACTTCCACATTTTTTTACTGACATCTAGTGGTCATCTGAATTTCTAACTTTAGTCTTGTGTCATATTTGTATAGCTTGGCTTTAAAGAGTTCCAGTTAAAACTATTTTAGACCTCAACTATGTCACCCTGATTGCCCTTTAAAATATATTTTTGATGCCCAATAAAAAACAGTCCTCACAGCAATGTAAATGTGAGATAGGTTGACGTGTGTGGTTTTGCAAAAGTTAAATTTTTGTTACCTCTCTCATATTACACACACACACACACACACACACACACACACACACACACAGAGTTGGGAATAAATCCCCTTGAACACAGTAAGATATGGTTCCATGTCTTGTACAATAGGGTACAATCAAGAAAATTTACGTTGATTGCTTTATAAGAGGAAACCGAGGATCAGAATAAATCACAGACACCAGGTTTTTTTCACATGAATATTTAAACCATCAATTAACAGCTTAGGATGTTAATATTTGTGCATATTCTATGCCATTTTATCAGATCCTATTAAAACCCTGTAAACTAATTTTCTAACTTATTAGATTGCTCATCCAAGCATTTTACTTATATAAATCTGTCTTCTTCTTTTTTCTTGTTTCTATTTTAACGAAACTGAAACCCCTTACATGATGAGTCCCCATTCACTATATCATCCTTCAGTAACTTTCATTCCTTTCTAATGTAATAATCTTTTTTTTCCTCATCACTTCAACATACATTCTAAAAGCTGGATTTCTCTGAGCCATCATCCTAACGAAGTGAGAGATTTCAGCAAGTGAAAACATCTCTACTAAGGTGAAAGCAACACACCCTTTGCAAACACTGAAACAGGATACAGGGGTTATCGGATCAACCTTTTTTAAATATTGCCAAGGAACATGATACTCCTGCTAAGTCCCCAATGACCTGGGGACCTTAGTTGCTCTTTTCAAAAGAGTCCCTCATAAACATAAACCTAACCTTGAATGTACGCTATGATTCCAGTGTTGATATGCTACGGGTTCGGCCTGGTTCAGCCAAACCAGTAGTAAAAAAAGCCGACGATCAGCTGAGAGGAGGGAAAAAAAATCCTCCAATCGGCTGAGAGGAAAACTAAGAGAAAAGCGCAGGATGGGCCCTCCCACTCACCTCTGCACTTTTCTCTTCTTTATCCTCTCAGCTGATTAGTGCTCCAGGTCTCCGCTGATGTGTGGAAAGCTGCGCGCCAGCATTAGGCAAAGCATGCCCACCAAGCCACGCCCACCAAGCCACGCCCACCGAACCAGTGATAAAACAATTTGAATCCCAGCACTGTATGATTCCATCTCTTTTCCCTGATCTAGCAATTACCAAAGAGCCAGCATGTTCTTAAGGGAGATTATATTGTTGGGCATGGATAGGTAATAGGTAATTCATTGAAGGAAAGGCAATATTTTTGCAACGTATTAGTTGTTCATCTCTACTATAATGTCATTTCCACAGCCCTGCTTAGGGTTTACTCTGTGCTACTCTGCTATTTCATTAATTTTGTCTCTATTCTCCTAATTGCCTCTTCCTGACTAAACAGTGGGCAGCAGTGATCGTGGGACATGAATTTAGTACAGGTAGTCCTTGACTTAGGACTGCAATTGAGCCCAAAATTTCTGCTGTTACGTGAGATAATTGTTAAATGGGTTTTGTCCCATTTTACAACCTTTCTTGCCACAGTTGATCACTGAAGTTGATGTTAGTAACCTGATTATTAAGTGAATCTGTGCCCCTAAAATATTTATTTTATTATTTTAGAAAATTTATATAGCTGCCTACTCGCTCAAGGCAATTCTAGCAGCTTACGGACAAAAAAATAATTATGATAACCCTGGGTGTGGCACAAAAGCAACAAAGACACAAAAGTAGGCAAAGTCCCTTTAATACCTCCAATTTAACCCCCCCAATGTCCAGTTATCATTGGCTGGAGAAAAAACTCTCCCAAGAACAGTTTTTAAAGGGAAGAAATTCAATCCAAACCCAAAGTACATATAGATTATAAATAAAAACCAACACAAACCACGCTGCAGCAGTCAACGAGACAGGGCAACATAAGGAATTGCAGACTTCAAAAGATAACAAAACACACACAGTTGGGAGGATGCCAGAACCCAGATAAGACTTGATAAACAAAGATAATTCACACTTTGCTTCCAGCAAGGTGCTGTGCGCAAATGCCCTTTTAAAATTTTGTTTTCCCAGCTGCAGCTAATGAAGGGAATCAGGGCCCTTTTCTCCCCCATAATCCACGTAACTCACATTACTCCCTTCTCCGTTCCTCCCTGCGTGCCCTAGGATGAAGAGGGGGTGGCCCTGGGTCTTCCTCTGAATGCACAGCCAGACTGTTCCCTTCCCCAGTTTCTTCCACAGCCACTGGAGCCACACTCCCACTCCCTGTCAGTTGCTTGACCTCCCTCTCAGAATCAGATTCCAACAGGGACATGACAACAATGTAGAAGAAATTAAAATAATAACAAATAATAAAATAATATCCCTCACTCCTCCTTGGTGACAATACACATGCAAATCAGCCATTTAATGGGCTCCATCCCACTCTGGGTTTCTCAGGCCCACTGACAAAACCACGTCTTCAGGGATTTCCAAAAAAGTGGGGGCCAGTCTAATTTCTGGAGGAATGATGTTCCAGAGGGAGGGAGCCACCACGAAGAAGGCCTTTCTTCTGGGTCTCACCAGATGTACCTCCTTAAGGGACATGATCCACAAAATTCCTTGCCTCTACTATATTCTACGATAATATCTTGAGAACATGGAAATGATGGGTGACTATAATGCAAAATTTTGTTTGGAATGGCATTCTCTGACCTATACCATAGACATTAGCTGGAGGAGAATAGACAGCATCCTGGGAGGACCAGAGTGAGTCATAAGAACGATCTCACTATGTTCTCCTTTGTGATATCATTTAACGGTGAAATCTCTTTTGCATCAGTTTCATTTCTTGGTGATTTCATAAAAACATCCACATATTTTTTTTTTGGCAAAAATGAGAGTAGGTGATTAGTCTCATCTTCTACACTGTTTTTAGGCTTCCCAGCCTAGTATTCCCTGATAACTTTCTATCCAATACTAACCAGGCTTAGTTTCCAAGCCCAAAGATAAGCAGAAGCTATCATCCACAGGTAGTTCTCAACTTATGGTTGATCATATTATGACCTTTCAGAGTTATAACAACCTCAAAATGGCCATCATGAAGTTTTGTGCATGCCGCCCTCCCCCCAGCAGTTATATGACCTCATTTTGTGCATTTGGTAACCAATTAGCCTTTACAACTAGCCTTTACAACTAATTGCAGCAGCCCACAGTGAAATGACCACAATTTGCTGTGGGGGTTTGTTGCCACTTCCAGCAAAAAAAAAACACATTTGGAAGCATGGATTCATTTAACAGCCACACCATTCATTAATAACTGCAGTGATTTATTTATTTATTTATTTATTTATTTTGATTTGTCAATTGTTTCCAAGATAATAAGTATAAGTGTATACATAGTTGTGAATACATGAAATGGGTATATATAAGAAAAATAAAAGAATAGAGAAACAATAGGACAGGGACGGTAGGCATGTTGGTGCGCTTATGCACGCCCCCTACAGACCTCTTAGGAAAGGGGTGAGGTCAATGGTAGACAGTCTAAGGTTAAAGTTTTTGGGGTTTGGGGAAGAGACTACAGAGTCGGGTAGAGTATTCCAGACATTGACCACTCTGTTGCTGAAGTCATATTTCCTGCAATCAAGTTTGGTGCGGTTTACTTTGAGTTTGTATCTATTGTGTGCTCTTGTGTTGTTATGGTTGAAGCTGAAGTATTCATTGACAGGTAGGACATTGCAATGTATGATTTTATATACCATGCTTAAGTCAGACCGAAGACGGCGTAATTCAAGGTTTTCTAGTTCTAGAATTTCAAGTCTGGTGGCATAAGGTATTCTACAACGAGTAGAAGAGTGGAGAACTCTTCTTGTGAAATATTTCTGGACTTTCTCAATTGTGCTAATATCAGATACGTAATGAGGGTTCCAGACTGATGAACTGTATTCGAGTATTGGTCTAGCAAATGTTTTGTATGCTCTGGTTAGTAGTGTGATATTACCAGAGAAAAAGCTACGTAGGATTAGGTTAACAACTCTTAATGCCTTTTTGGCTATGTAGTTGCAGTGGGCTCTAGCACTCAGATCATTAGAGGTGAGTATTCCAAGGTCCTTTACAGAGCTTGGGTCATCAACAAGGTCTTGACTATTCAGCTTGTATTTTATTTTCTGATTTTTTTTGCCAATATGTAAGACAGAGCATTTATTTGTTGAGATTTGAAGTTGCCATTCACTGCAAAAATGTCAAAAAAATGGTTCAATTTACATGAGTGCCTCAACTTATGATCACAATGACTTATGACCGATTTCCAGTCCCAACTGTGGTTCTAACTTGATGATTACCTGTACTGAGAGACTACTATTTACCAGAATGTTGAAAATAATATATATTCATCTCAGAATGTCAACATGTGGTTATCAACTAAACCCAGTTTGTCTACCACTGTTGGTGGTTTTGTTGTAAGATCTGTTATGTCACCAGTTAACAAATATGAAATATAGCAAGCTAGCCACAAGACCAGGTAGAAGAGTGGGTAATATTTACCTTTCTTATGGTCTGACTTTCTAGGTAGTTCATACTTTTCTTGAGAGGATTTTGAATCCATGTCATACAAAGTCCTGGTTTAACAATCCTATAAATGAAACCAAAAACACTATGTAATAATATAAGAAGTAATAATAATAGCCAATTTGATTCTATGAAAAAGTAGAGCCTTCCCATTATCTTCAATAGTCATGCTTCCTTGATTGATTGGATAAATAAATAAGAATTTTACTGCAATGGTCAACATCCAGTGATAATTTAGCAGTTAGATTGTTATTGGCTATTGACAGGAATAGCTCCAATAGCAAATAACAAGTCTAAATTCATGTTGAGGAAAGCCAACTTTGCGGACAAACTTTGTGGAGCTATGTCACATCTCAAGTTTTCACAGATTCCAGAATCTCTTCGAAAGAACTTTACCCAAGAGATGTAAAAAACAACAACAATCTAGTAACAACCCCACAAACACCTGAGATAAACTTCTACTCAACAAAATTGCAAGAACTATAAAAAGATAATTATGACAGAGATAGTTGTGTTTCTGATCTCAAATACTCTGCATATTTTCAAACTTGCACACCATGAAAAGATATCTCATTTGGGAAAATGTTATAAAAGTCATATTTAGAAAACTGAATCCATGTATTTAATACTTAATAAAATGTAACAAATAGTTTAGGTTTTAGAAAATTATAAATGACATGAGTTATTTATAAATCTAGATAGATCTTCAAATCCTTAATAGAAATATCTTGACTGATATATTTGTTTTACTAACTAATTTATTTCACATGTGAATACTGACAGCTCCAGGTTGAATGTTTTGTTATATTTTGGCAAATACTTCACAATAATTATCCAGAAATAATCTCTTTACTGTACTGTCAACATTATCATGAAAACTTAAAATTGTTTTACACAAAAAATACCCCTGTAATGAAGTGTTTAAAGGATATGGGCTCCAGCGAGAATCCAAAAGCTCCAGTACCCAACCTGATTCCAGTACCCAACCCAGACTGGATCCTGCAGTGATTAAAGCATTACCAAACAGCATATACATTAAATTGTATGGGAGGAAATACAGGGGAAAAAATAAAATATAAAATAATAACAGAAAATGTATTCAATTTGAAAGGATACGAGTAAAAATGATTCTTCAATAGTAGGAGCAGTGTAATGGTAGATGCTCTTGAAATATTTCAATTAGTAGGCACTATGGCTGAGAATAACACATAATCCACATTTAATGACACTGCAATAAGATCTCCCCAGATTAGTAGTGATCCTGCAAACTTACACCAGGGAAGGTGATTTTTGTGTCCTTGTTTCAAGTTGACTTAAGGCTTTATATGCCTTATAAAGTATTTAATATTAAAATATCAAACTTGACCCAATATCTAATTGGTAACCAATTGTTGTTGTTCATATGAACTGAAGTTGCTTCAATCTAGATGAAATATGTAGATAGTGATCTCAACCAGTTGGCCAGCACAGTCTGCATCAATTGCATCTTCTGCATTCAACACAAGAGTAATTCCACAAAGAAGACACTCCAGTAAACTAAATACAGAGGTGCATAAACAACAGTTCTTAAGCTATCCATGTCTGGCTGAAAAAATAATTGAAACTAGAAATAGGCATTCTCAACCTAGAAATCATTTGGGCCTTTAGTAACAGTGACAGTTCTAGAAACACCTAAGGCATATTTCCTGTGCTGAGAGTGCCTTGCCATTAAGAAAACTCCCAAATTCCTATGCCTAGGATCCATTCATTCACATGTATCCACTGACAAGATTCAATAGTGATTTCTTTGTTCTCATCCAACCAATTCTAGATACCACTTTGGAGCATACATACATCCTGCTGAATTAGATGCAATAGACATAATCACCAGTACATTGATGGCAATTCCTAATGATTGCTCCCATAGAGAACAAGATAAGGTGCCTTATAATATTGGTAGCATAACTGCCCATAAATGCCAGAGCACAAATTAGTATTAGATGATTAATAATAAAATTTATTGAAAGATCCTATGAAACCAGAAATATCTACTTATTTCCCACTTGCGGTCATTATCAGGACAATGAAGAGTGGTTCATTCATATACCCAGCTCTCAATCCAGATAGAAGTGAATTAAGATTATTATTTTTTCTTTGTAAAATGTTGCCTGTCTTCTCCAAGTATCCAAAAGCGGGGAATTTGTAACTGGACAGTAATTGTTAGAAATTTCTGAATCCAGTGAAGTTTTTATTTTTAAGATGTGGATGCATTACTATCTTTTGTAAGACTAGCAGTACCACTTATTACATAAAACATTTATACTCACTGGATCCACTAGTCACACAGACACTAGCTGCATTGAATAAACCAAGATGGGTAAGGCTTAGTTGAACAGACTGTAGGCTAACTAGCTACCCGTTTCTTGTCTATGCTCTCCAGTCTCAAAAGATGAAAGGAATCCTACATCAGGGGTCCCCAACCTGTGGACTGCAGTCCTCTAGTGGACCGTGAGGGGTTTGCAACTGGGCTGTGGAAACGGTCGGCAAGCGAGCACGCATGCACATCCTCACATGCGAGCAGCAGGCAAGCCTGTGCACTTCATTTGCAGGATCTAAAGCCAAACTTTTTTATTCTTATGCAATAGTCATGTTGTACATTGTTATGTTTGTCCAGCTGGCCTCAGAGTGGGTATTGCACCATTTACCCTCCAGCTGTCCCTTGGCTTATTTCATTGCTTGGAGCTCCTCAGAAAAGCCAGCTTAGGCTCCAGAAAAAGGGCATTTGGAGGCAACTTCAGTCGTTTTGTTTTACCTTCTGAAATTCAGCTAAGACTTTGACTGACTTACACCAGGGAAGCATTTTCAGCTTTGCCTTCTGAAAAATTTCCCCAAACAATTCAAGTATTTGTTGCATTCCATAAAGCTCTGGGAGGACCATCTTGTTGGTCCTCCGTTTCCATTTATCCCATTAGTACAGCAGAGCAAGTAGCAGGAAGTATAGCATGTTTGCCAAATGCTTCTAAAAACACAACCGCGTGCCAACAGTAGACTTAGAGAATCTTTTTCTCAATGTTTTAACACATTTCGAGAGCATTTTCTGCCATATCATTGGAAATGGTTTGAGTCTCTTACAAAAGCTTCTTCTTATATAGTAACTTCTAGATTTGCAGGTGCAATGTAAGGCTGAAGCTATAAAATGAAGCAAGTATACTAGTATCTGTACAGAACATAGATTTGTGATAAATTTGTGATAAGCATGTTTATGCAGAAGAAATAAACATATTTAGATCTAGTTCATTGTATTTGTTGCAGTGGCAGGAAAAAAATTATCAAAGGAATTTTCTGCACTGCTCATTCCTCAGTTGTAAATAAATTCCCCTTCATTTTACAAAATGTTTTTCTTTTCCATATGATCTGATGATCTGTAATCTAGAATAGCCTGCAAAGCCTAAAAAAAGAGCTACCCAGTAGTTGTCTAGCTATTGGGTTATGTTTACTGTTTTGACTACAGTATTCTAGCAACAATTGCATTACTAAAATAGTTCAGAGTAACTTTAAAAATTGTTTCCAGAATCTGAAAATATAGGCATGCAATCTATTCAAGCAACATACCCTTTGTTGTTATTTATATTCAGAAAAAGTAGAGGCAAAATGAGGCAGGATGAAAAAGCTGTTAATTCTCACTCTCTCCAGCATTGATGAAGCACTAGAAGCAACAGATCTGTCTGAACTGCAATCTGTCAACAACTCCAATAAGAGAATTAATAAAACAGCTGCCCTTGAATTTCATTGGGAGAAAACCGACACAAAGCACACTTACGTAAAACAGAGGAGACAGTGATGACAAGCAAGCAAGCCAGTCAGGTGCTGAACTCAAATTAGCAAAATCAGACTGGAGTCCTACTGCGTATCCCAAGTTGATGAAGACCAACTCAGTAGGGCTTAATTTTGAGCTGACACCTAGTTTTACAGAATGGTGTTTTAATGCCTTGTATCCCACAGCCAGATATACTATACTGGGTGACGGGCTTTGCAGAAATACGATTCTTTTCTTATTTTAGAACTTACAAGGCAGGTGCTGAGTGAAACTGAAATTAAAGCATCCTCACAGTCCAGATATCATTTTTCTCAAGAAGAGTTGAGATGACACCAATATACAAGAAGGATTTGAACTTCCAAGTTTTAAACTGTTTGGAAACACCTACATCAGCCTTTTTCAGTCTTGTGAAATCTTTCAGAACTACCTAACAATATGGCTTAGGTACAACAGCTGAAGTTTCTCGGAACTGTCATTCACATGGCATCAAGTTGGAGAAGGTAGGAGTAAATGAAAAAAAAAAGTTAGAATCAAGGAAATGGATGGGATGGGATGGGATGGCTGTACTAAGCAGTATCTGAGACAACAGGGCGATCATAGAACTGGCACAACTTTTCCCTACCTGTACTATACCAGCTATGTTAATTCCATCACCCTCAAGATTCATGTTGGCTATAAGTTATAAAGGCTGGTAAAAATGGACTCAATTTTTACCTCCATTTCTCTTCCAAATTTAATACAAACCAATCTGGGCTTAGAGGAGACACATGAACAGAGAAATTTGCTAGCCCTTTCTACTTCTTCTCAGAGGCAATCCTGTTTTTATTGAATTGAATTCTTTATTGTCATTGTATGTATATATACAGCATACGTACAATGAAATTCATATAACACCCAGAGACCAGACATGCACACATACATGACAATCCCCAAACACCCACCAAAATTCCCTGCCTCCTAAACACACACAAGCATCAACACAACAGACCAAGTAATACTGTCCAATAGCTCACTAATGGTGGTCCTTAAGTTCATTGTTAAGTGTAATTATAGCTCTGGGATAAAAACTAGTCAGAAAACATGTGGTCCGAGTTTTAATTGTTCTGTATCTTCTGCAAGAAGGCAAGTTCGTAAAGATTGTAAGCAGGATGGGAAGAGTCTCTGAGAATGTTGTGCAACTTCCTCAAACAGCGAGATGCGAAGATGTCATCCAGGGCTAGTAGCAGGAGTCCAATGATATTCTGGGCAGTTTTAATGATTCTCTTTAGAGGTTTTTTGTCTGCTAGAGCTGCTCCCATACCATGCCAGAATGTCATATGTCAGGCCACTCTCAATGGTGCTGCGGTAGTAGGACAGAAGTAGATACTGAGATAGACTTATCTTCCTGAGCATTCTCAGGAAGGACAGCCTCTTCTGTGCCTTCTTCACAAGCATGTTAGCATTCATAGTTCATGAGAGGTCCTCCGAGATATAAGTGCCCAGAACTTTAAAACTACCAACCCTCTTCACCTCCTCACCATGTATGTACAGTGGTAAATATACATCTCTCTTCCTCCTGAAGTCAATTATAAGTTCTTTATTTTTTTGGTGTTAAGTGTAAGATTGTCATATCAAATAAGCTGAAATGACACACAAACATTATGTAATGCTCCAGATCAAAATATCACATTTAGTGATCATAGGGAGGAAAACAACTAAAAGTTAACATCTCTCTATCCTGTGAGATAATCGGAGTTTCTGTCCAGTGCATCTTTTAACACTTCATTGTAGTCATGAAGCAGGAAGTCAAGCTGTACAATATTCCAAATTCACATCCAATTTACTCCCAGCTGTTGTTCACCAAAGTTAAGCAAAGCCAGTTGACAATTCTTCATCCCATTATTTGCTTGTGGTACACAACACAGCCCATTCAATAACTAAAATCACTTTTCTATGTCACTTCATAGAATAAAAAAAGGAGAAATATCACTGCATTATCATAACTACTATCTTTTCCTCATTTAATAATTTTTAAGTACAATAAAGGAAAGCAATAAAAGAATAAAAAGAACAGAAAATACATTAAAAGGAGATTTACAAGTATTACAGTTAGCTAACATTCAAAGCAACATTAATCTAATTTGCATGTTGGAATATCTCATTTGAATTTGAAATGTTATATTAGTAGTTTCTCTTCATATTGTATAACTATTTCATATATTAGTAGTAAAAAAGGGCAGCATCTATGTTCAATACATTTAGATCACCATACAATTATATTATGTAAAAGAAAATGTAAACTTTGGATGTGATCTGAACTTATTTGTAAGAATTATAATTCAAAGTTTCTATATGGCGGTAAATTCTATATCAGCTTTATTTTTTATACATAAAATTAATATTGACATTATTTCATCCCAATTCAACCATTAGTTTAGCCACTCAATGAATATGTGAGCTATAACTCACAAATGTTTATGTATTTTAATAAACTTTCTTCGTCTGAAAAAGACCTACAATAGACTGACAGAGTTAACCTGACAGCGGAACATACTCCTACAATTTGCTTTCTCATTCTTCTATGGAAGAAATTGTATTTTCAGTTGGAGGTATACAAAATTCTTGTAGCTGTTACATGTACAGACCCAAATCAGTATAGGGGAATATAAAGTTTAGCAATATTAACAAAAAGCTGACAGGCTGGAATGGAGCATTTATTTCATTCTATTATAAATCATTTTCCACACCTGTTGGACTTTACAACATAACATAACATCACACAGAAAAAATGATCCTATATACTACAGCATTTCCAGAATATTTTAAGAATTGTCTATTCTGATAATCAACACTAAAGTAATACAACACCAGTAAAACATCTGATGAGAACGAAATTATTGTAGTAGCTAAGGCATCAAGCTAGAAACTGGGAGACTGTGAATTCTAGTCCTACTTTGGGCATGAATTGGGTGACCTTGGGCAAGTCACTTTCTCTCAACCCTAGGAAGAAGGCAAATCACTTCTGAAAAACCTTGCCAAGAGACTGGTCAATCTCTGACGATCAGACATGAATGAATGGAAGGAAAAAAATCTGACACCAATTAATCAAATTATTCTGGTCATTCATAAGGGAACACAATGAAAGATTGCTTTATTAATAAGATTGCAGTTATATGATTATACCTTATATTCTTTATTTATTTTCCATATTTCTTTATATATTTTCCATAAAAATATTTGTTACCAAGGCAAGGGGCAACAGATAACAGAGTAACAGAAATGGAATGGACCTTGGGGAATCTTTTAGTCCAACTCTTTGCTCAAGCAGAACAGATTACAGATAGAACAGATTATGTTTCCATTTATCTCATATTTTAAAAGATTGATCTTTTTTTTCTGCCTCTATCAGACATATTTGTGCAGCCCTTTTAAAATTCCTACTCCTTCCTCACAAGCAATCCAGCCATCAAATGTCATAATCAAATGTTATCTGACACAACTAGCCTGGTAATACAAATTACGATTTGTTGCTACTAGCCTATTTATTTGTTCAAGTCTTATATTTTGTTTTTAAATTTTATCCTGGGTATTTTGTTACGCCATGTATACATTTTTGTTTTGTTTTTGCTGTCAGTCATTTAATACTGTATATTTTCATCCATTTTTATTGGGATCTTTTAGATCAAAAAGTTAAGATTTGCGTTTTTACCCATGCAATTTTTCCTATCAGAGTTTCTGCCTTTCCTAACTTGAAATGTTTAGCATTATATTTCTCCACGTGTGAGTAATTGTTATTAAATAAATCTTTATTATTTTTTGTTAAATAAATCTCCATATAAATGATCTTTTTAGCAATGATGTTAAAGCTTATTTTTCGCTATAGATTTTCTTCTTGAAATAAGTTCCATACCCATATTTGGATCTTGTATTTATTAATCCAATCAACTGAAAATGAATCATACTGCTCTATATATTCTATTAAGCTTTATTAAGAATTGTTTGGATAAATAATTGTAAATTCAGCATAATATGCACATAATTTTATGTTTTTGGTTTGAGTGTTTGATTCCAAAATGTCTATTATTCTATTGGATCCTATAACAGCCATCTTCTTAGTGGTTAAAGTTTAGTTTTGTATTTCATCTGCTTTTTCTGTGTTGTTAGATGAATGTAAGTATGCTTGGACAGAAAACTGAAATTCAGTTAATGTGAGGAATTCAGTTAATTCAACAAATGTACAAAGCATTTGTTTTATAAAACAAAAAATGAAACCAGTAGTTTATATATTTTGCACATTTTTGTCTGCAAAAACTGCGCGTGGAATTTCCTTTATATTGGTCAACTGAAGGAAGATGAACTAGATTGATACAGCAGGCTTCCTAATTTTAAGTCTAATGTAAACTTTGAGTCTAATCTTTGCTTTTCTTCAATTTATTTATGTTTGTTTGATACATTTGTTTAATATCCATTTGTAGTAAGATAAAAATGATCAATTCTCCTCTTTCCATTTAAGTTTCTTTGCAAAATGCTCACATGGACCACCCTTGCAATTCAATGAACACTTAGATCATAGAATAATGGAAGGGACCTTGGAGGTCATCTAGTCCAACCCCCAGTTCGAGCAGGAGAATCTATTCCAAATATTAGCCTCTACCTAGGATTGAATTCACAGCTTCCTGATTGTGAGGCAAGAGCTCCACCTCTACGCCACCGGATCTGCCCTAATGCCTAATTATTTATTATTATTAATTCCCTAATGCACAAACTGATGTTTAATATAAGTGGCATGGCAAGATACGTAGGAAATTAGGCTGTCCCACATATTGCCTACTAATGAACTACAAAAGCTCTGAACAGTACGCCACTTGTGTCTCTTTTGTTTTTGGGAAGTGTGAAGCTTAATGGCAAATTAGAAGCACCATACATTGAATTCATTTTCATTCTGAAAACCATACAGGTCACAAATCACCTTCAGATAATTCTCAAAGCTGACAAACTTAACAGAGGCTTTCTTGAGGAAAAAACAGATGTTTCCTATATTAAAAGGTTTTTTTAAATTCATATCATGCTGTTGAATATAAGATGGGGATTGATAAAGAAAGTGGAAAATAATATCTTTCTAGTGAAGCAAATATTTGTAAGATAATAGTCTTTCTTAATCTTAGCAGCTTGAAGATGCTGCATGGACTTCAAGTCCCAGAACTCCCCAGCCAGCCTTGAAGTTCATACATCTTCAAGTTGCCAAGATTGAGATAATTTTTAAAGCCCCATATATGTTTCCAGCGAGCATTATTTCTTCCACCTCCTCCTTAAAGTTTTGCCTCTTGCTTTTTTGCCCTCAAAAACTGGCCTGGCTGTCACCATCTGCATTTCTTCCTCTGCACTGGAGCTGCTACTCCTGGCTTCACTTTGCGCAGATGCAACTTCTAGGCTAGTTTTGTGACTTGCCATGTTCGTTTCGAGCATTTTTGCGTTCTCCCCTTTTCTGTGCTTTCTGGAAGCTTCATTCTCCAAATCACCAGCTGAAGACTCGCTGGATGCCTCCGAGAGCAGAACCTCTCCTACGAAGCCACCACACAGAACGCTCTGTTGCTGAGATGGCAGACATTTCTTCCGTTTGCTTCCTCGTTTCTGGCATCCAGCCCTCCCTTTATTGAATGCCTGCCCTTTCTTCTGTTTCAATTCTTTTTCTAGAACAGCAGTTGCCTCCTGGACTTCACTGTCGTCTTCTTCCTTCTCTTTTCTCCTCATGCAGGTCACAGCCCGGCGAACCCTCTGACTCTTGATGACTTGTTTTTCATGTTGTGCCAGTCTGAAGAAAGAGTCAATACGCAGCTGGGTCTACAAAAGAAAGAAAAGTACCCTTGTAAGGTTCGGTAAGGGTTATGGAGAATACTATTTGCAGCAGAGAAAACATGCAACAAAATTCACATCATTGTCAAGAGAATATTTGTTCAGAGCTCCATGTCAGCGTTCCAGCAAACCTCCATTCCAATCAGTAACTCCGAGACAAACATATCTCAAAAGTACCTTTATTAGAATAGCACCTGGCACATCTGTGGAATCCCAAATCTAAAAGTTTTCAGGCTTTCCACAATTTCCCAAACTACAAATCCCTTGGTCGTCATCATATCACCTGGCCCAATCACGATCCGTCCAAAAGTAAGATCCTTATTTCATCCTGCGCCATACTCAATGACCTTGAACTAACAAGAGTTTATTTTGTCTACTTAGAGCTACTTAATTGAAATCACCCCCTCCCACTTTCTCAGGCTATGTGGCAGCGTGGAATATGGCTTCCAAAGGTGACACTCCAGTTGCTTTGTCTAGTCCTGATACATTTAAGGTAGAGACTATCTAGCCCTCCAGCTTAAGATCAACTACAGTTCTCAGCAGCCTCACCTAACATTGACAATGGTGAGGAGTGCTGGGAAATGAAGTTTCACAACACTTGGATAGCCAGATATTCTCTGCCATCTAAAGGCTTTTTGTGGAGGTCAAGCAGGCCAATTCACCCCAACTCTATATTCGGCTTCCATTAGGGTTGCTCCGATGTTCTAATATTCCACTCTGGTCTCTTAGTAGCCCCATTTAGATTTCATTTTTGTTGGTACAGAAGGATTCCATTGAAATAAATAACCTATCCATGTCCTGTACATGTTTTGGCTCCACTACAGGCTGCAACGGACAGTTTGTCAGGCTCTGAATGTGACGATATTAACCGCGGAGCCCGCCAGCATTGCTAACGAGATCCAATCTTCCATGTTATGCTGTGCCGCGACATCTGCTGAAGGGCGGCGAATACATAGGGAATCCCTAAGAGTAGATGATGTTGACATTGTAACAACGGGGATTCCCTGTGCAGCGAACATCAGCACCAGGCACTTTGGGGATGATTGGACTCATGAAGGAGAGCCTTCCTCTCTCACACACACACCGGAGGGGGGGGGGAAAGCTGAGGATTAGAGAGGGGTCAGAGCTAGATAGGGAATCAGAGCGGAGTAGGAATGATAGGGATAGGCTCATATATAATGGTAGACAAGGTTAATTAGAGTAATTTGAATGGGGCGATACGCAGGAGTTAGCTGCGATTAGGTGGGCGTGTGTGCACTATAAATAGCACTGGAAGGCAGACGCTCCCAGCACTAACCTAGATCGGATATTAGCCGTCCTTGCCGGATGGGATGTTCATTGCTTGTAAATTAAACTTCTCCTAACCTTGCTGTTTGTTGGCTTGTATCTACAAATCTGTGAGCATCTAGAAGACTGGCTGAGAGTTGCTCTTAGACTTTTTAAAAGCTTTCCCAGAGCTTGATGCTAGACTGCTTTCAAAGGTGCATAGCAACCTACTTATTTAGACAACTTTTAATAAGCAACCATTTAGTACAACCTGCTGTTGTTTGTATTGCTATGATGTCATTAAAATATTAACTCTTAATGGCTGCATGTTTACTTTCCTGTCAGTTTACTTGGAAAAATTATAAATTGTTAGAAAAAAAACATGCAGATTGCTAAATAGCGGCAACCAACAACTTATACAATTGTCAAGACTTATATTTTTGTGCTTTTTCTCTCTATATAATATTTGGCTAGATTTCACCCTAACCAAGTCTGGGATATATAAAATCAGACTCCCTTCATCTATAATCTTTTTTGCCATTTCTAATCAACTACTTACATGACTGAAGCCTAGTCTTTTGACAATGAGCCCTTCATCTAACTAACTCTAAATGCTGGGATTATAAACACTGTGCATTCAAACAGTAATTCTGCCATTCCCTATGGTTGCTTTCAATCTCTGAACAAACAGGAATATTCTGGGGGAAATAGCCTGCTTTATTCCAGGACACTGACCCATGAAAACAAGTGGTCTAGATGTAACTTTTCTCTGCTCAGTATTAAGGTTAGCTACTGCTCTTTTCAGACTGTATATAAAGTAACAGTTCTGAAATGGTGAAACACATAGCTAACTTCTTTATTATATTTTCATCTGATCCAACCAATTTTTATACCAAATTTCTAATTAACCATCTGCTTTTTAAAAATTTATTTTCAGACAAGCTACTTTTCCACAGCTGATATAGTATGATAACTTATATATTTTGTGGAAGGGATAAATATAAGCTTTATTCATTATTGCGCATACATAAATACTTTTGTAAGTTTATGGCAAACCTGAGTATGAGACTTCAAATCCACCAAGACCACTGTCAAAGAAAAGGTTTCATTTCAGTAATACCTGTTGAATATTCAGTTGTTTGAGAACAGGAAAGAGAACTTCATCAGTTTTTAACTTAGTCCATCCAAAATGACTTTGACAAAATATGCAAACAGTTAAGGACCAGTAAAAAGCAAGCACTCCGGAAACATTTCTAAAGATGTGTCTGAATTAGACAATTTGAAGTCCTTTTGCTAATTTTGAACTTACTTTTCACATGCAAAAACTGTATTCCCAAATTATTTTGTACTGACAAGTACACCAGGCAAGTAAACAACAATCACTTTTTTTAAAAACCAGTAAAAACCAAATATGGGATTTAATATGCTGACTTCTTAATTGTATTTATACTAGGGTACAGACTGCATCTACCAAACAAAAAACAAATAATAAATAAGGAAGTCTACTAATTAGTATTCAGGAAAATTAAATTTGCTCTAGCCAGATAAGTAATTTACTAGCTATAGAATTTAGAATTCTTCCACTCAAAGAAGGAAACAAGAAACTATCAGACTGAAGCACAGTTTATTTATGCAAACATTTGCATTAGAATATCATTCCTTTTATCTGCTTGTTAAGGGAAGAAACAGTAGAAAGGATATTCTCTAATTTGTTCCACATTAGGTCTTCCCCAAGCAAAGGATGCCTTTGACTCATCCACCACAGGATGCAAATAAGCTTCCGCCACAGAAAGATTTGGGAAACCAGCAGCAATTTCTATGTGCCGCAGTTTTTTCTTCACTTTAGTATCATATGGATTGGGACGTATTTTCTTATTCTTTTGAGCCTCAGCCCACCATTCCCTGAAAATGAAGAGAAAGAAAAAAGAAGCACATTTTAAAAACATGATCTGACTTAGGCTTTGGAAATGAAAAATGAAAGCTCCATGATGAAAACTGCCTACACGAGTTTCAAGAGAGGCTCTAGTCCTCGTCCAGGGAACTCATTCAAAATCTCCATTGCAGTTACATAGCCAACGTTAGGGATGCCCTCAGTGTAGTCACTGCCCAGGAGGTAGGCCAGATTAATCAACTTGTTTCGATCCAAGCCTAAGGGAGAAAAAAAGGAAATGATCATCTGCAAGTTTATCATGTATCAGAAAAAAAAGCATTTGTTTTATTTATTTATTTCAGGGATTCAAACAAGGTTATCTCGTGGAAGAATACAACAAAAACAAACAATAAACAAAGGAAGCTAATTATGCAATGTTAGCAAGAACAACCCAATTTAGAAAATATGAAATGATGACCAATGGGGGATAACTAGTCAACTAAAAGAGGACTCTAGTCAACTGGACCTAAATACCTGGAGCGAGGGGAGAAAGAGCTATACTACAAATCCTATGCTCATGTCCTAGGTCCCATAATTACGGGACAATGTTTAAAAGGTACATGTTCTATAAGCCAGAATGTTTAAAAAGGGAAATCTGGAGCACACCCACCCAATGAAAAATTGTTGGGGGAAGCAGGACAGGCTTACATCCATTTTGTTACATGGAATTTAGCATTGGGAATGTCAGCAGAAACATACAAGTAAATTAAGTGAAGCAGGAATAGCATGCTTTAGAAATATTTAGAGTAAACCAAGAAGAGATGTTATTCTGTGATTCTGTAAGAATAAATGGGTGCTGATCTTGAAGACTGAATATAAAAGTGAGGGATCACTTTAAAATAGTATGTTGAAGCTGTTTGATCATACAGAGTGAATAATGGCCAAATCCCAAAGTAAATGGAGGAAGCATTAATAAGTCAACAGGGAAGGACAGATTTTTAAAAAGTTGTGTTGAAATGGAGCTGATAAGATCATCAAACAGAGAGAAATAATAATCTAAAGAATAAAATGGAATGTATGACAAAGTGTACAGATAAAATGGAAGCAAAAAATTTTTGCAAGGCAGAATGGTATAGAAAGAAATAATTATTAGTTTGGCATAAACTAGATTTAGCCTCTTCTTTTTCCTTATCTCATGATTCAATTCCTTTGATTTTCTATTTCTTCCTCATAGTCTCCCCTTTGTTTAAAGTTGTTTATCTCAAAAGGGAATCATGTGATGGGCGTGCGAGTTCACAACTGAAATTAAGTTATATCTTTGGAAAAAGATAAAAGAAGCCAAGATTCAAGATTTCATATAATGAATTACCTAGCTGATTTTGGAAATCCACATACTGATAATATTCGACGTACTTGCTTTGATTGAAGAAGTTTTTGTACACATGACGTCCTCCAAACAACCAGATATCACTGTCATCTGTGATTGTCCCAGAAGTTTGATCAGTAAGATCCAAGACAGCACACTGAGCTTCTGCTTCCATTGGAGCCTCGATGTATGGAATGCCAAACAGGCGCAGAAGTTCCTGTGAACAAGCAGGAAAAACAGTTCCAAAATTAGTTGGTGGTGAAATCTGCTAAGGGTCGGTTCATCCATCACATGTGCTAATTTCATGGAGATGAATGGACTTGTAGAAGATACATCTTTAAAATTGTTCTTCAAAGCAAGATTTGGACATTATTTTTACAATTAGTCAGATTCATTGACTAGACCAAGCAATAATTAGCATATATGGATCAGAGGCATATATTTTGTTCAGATGTGTAACAGCAATAAAGACGCCCATTCTTTTATTTTGCTTCATCTTATTCTAAAATTTCTAGCGCAGACTATGAGAAAAAACAAAGGGTCAACAATAAAATATAATTGGCAGATAATATATTTTCATAAGGTAGCTGCAATTTGAAATTTATTTTATTCAGCAACAGGATTAGAAGTTAACTTCTATATAACATATGCTATGTTAATTAGTACTGATCGTGAATTACAGGAACAATTTAAAAAACAATTAGATTTGCAACATTCCTGATTAATGTAGACACCTAGGAGTAATTATTATTAAAATTGGCACCAAGTAAAAAATAAAAAGCCAGTTTGGTGTAGTGATTAAGACATCAGGTTAGAAATCAGGAGACTGTGAGTTCTAATCCTACTTTAAGCATACAGCCAGCTGGTTGACTTTGAGCCAGTCACTCTCAGCCCTAGCAAGGAAATAATGGCAAACTACTTCTGAAATCTTGTGCAGAGAAATGCAGACTTGTCCATGCAGTTTCCAAGAGTCATCACTGACTCGAAGATACACCCCTCCCCCAAAATAAATAACTGTGACTCCCTACAAATGACAATAAAGTCAGCATTTGTTATTAGTACTGCTTGATAGAATCGTGGTATATGCCTATTTTTATTTCTAAAATTCTCTATTCCATCATCGCATTTTATTTTCTTTAACACGAAGAATGATGAGATATAAACAAAACACATTTAAATTTGAAATATTGTTTTGATGGATTTCATTGAAGATAACTCATATCATTAGGAATTCAAATATTTCCCAATTCTCATTTTAACTGTGTCAATACTGGATTTTCTATCAGATAAGGATATACTATTCTTCCCCAACATTAAAAAGTAGCATCAACTATTTTAAATTGATGCTTAATGTTTATTTGAGAAATCTGGAAATGTAAGAAAGATGGCTAAATGTCCACTTCTTGAGTTTTCTCTCTTCCTATTTGTTTTTTTAAACAGGAAGATTAGTTGTTCAATATGAGGCATGGAATCTAGATTGAAAACCAAACACAATTTATAGAATTAGAGATTGAATTCTTGAGTCTCTGATCCTATTACTACTAAATACAATTTGCAAAATGAATTGGACACAAATTCCATCTTAAAAGGGAAAACTGGACATGGGAAAAATCTAATGCTACTACGTCCCAAAGGTATTTTTTTCCAAAAGGCAACTGGACTTTTTCCTTTTAAAACATTTTACTTCTACTGCTACATTTGTATTGGAAACACCTATGAGGGAAACCCCTTTCAGGGTGAAAGGATTAGCCAGTGCATCACCTGTGCCCAGGGGATGACCAAGGCTCCCTTCATGTCTCTGTCATTTTCCCACCAAAGTGGTCCTTCCAGTTCAGTTCTGAACAGAAAAGGCAACTTTGGGACAACCATGACCTGGATGATTGAGAATCTTCATAGACACTACAATGCTACTATGAATATTTTCTCAAACCACACTGCTCAAGCACTTCATTTCTCTAGACACTCTTGCCAAATCAATATTCTCATTTTCCTCCTCTATATAATAGACCGTCCCTCTTTAATGCAAGTGAGAGATGATGGTTAAAAAAAAGAAAAGGAGAGTATGATTTTATAGAAATGTGTATTATTAGTTAATATATATAACTGCTAAAGGTAATAAGTAAGAATATTAACATGCTATTGTAGGAAAAGGAATGACATATGGAGTTTGATTGACATAAAAATAATATTGTGAAGTATTGTATAAGATAATGAAAGGCTATAATTTAATAAAAACTGTATTATTAGAATTGCACAACCTGTTAAACGTAAATATGATGAATACTATTGTATTTGTATCAAAATGTGAGTAGAAGGGGGAATTTTTTTGAAATATAATAGTGGCATATTTAGAAACTAAAATGGGGATAAACAATGGAAAATTATAATTTAATATAAATTTGTGAATTGTTATTAGAACTATATAATCTGGTAAACACTGCAAATATGATTATTAATATATAATTGGAAGTAAAAGGAGTGAGATTAAGAATATAGAGATTGACACAAAAAATAACATATTCCAATATTGAATAATCAAGATTGATAATTTAACAAAATATATGTATTAACATCAAATTTTAAAAGATTGTCAACTATATTAAACAAGAGGAATATTGTCATATTTGTATCAAAATGTAAGACACTACGGAATCACACTGTCCACACAATATTTTTGTTGTAACAAAAAATTAAAAAATCATTGCAAAAAAAAAAAGGCCATCTCCATCACCCGTTGAGAACAAATGAAATAGATCATAAACACAAACCTGACTCTCTAAGAACATCTGTCCTGTCACAGTGGCAGCCGTACGTTCCTGCTGCTGTTTCTGAGCTTGAAGTGCTGTTTGCTCAACAGACAAGTTTGTTTCCAAGACCTCCAAATCCTCCTACAAAAATACAAATCAAAACATTGTTAAATCTAAAGTACTGAGGTCTGTTAACTGTCTTCATTTAAGCCTCTTATAGATAGATATAATTAGAAACCAATTCTCTCACTTCCTGCCAAAGGACCACATAAAAATTAAATCTAGGGGAGATATGTCACAGGTAGTAATATTACATTAGGTGAGCTCCCACCAACAGAATCCAGAATTTTCAACTTTAAATCCATAAACACACACACCTTTTCCAAGGCTCACGATTACAGGAAAAATTTATCCCTACAAATTTAAGTCATCTCATTCTTCATTATTTCCATGAGACTCCACAAAGTTTCCAAAATAAAAATGGTTCACAGCTCATAGTTCTGGCTTGTTATTCCACAAATACAGATAGTTGCAAAATAATTACCATACTAATATTCTGCCATTCATTAATTTCAGCTTTCTCTGTGCTTTCCATTCCAGCATTTTGTTGCATAGTCAGCTCTGCATCTTCACCACTTTCTGATTTATTCTCTGTAGTGTCCTCACTCCCCTCTCTCATTTCCAATGAAGCTTCAGACACCACTCCAACCTCCTCTTCAATGGAGGCAAGTGATGTCTCAGATGTTCGATCTTGTTCACCCTTTGGTTCAGTCTCTACTTCAATGAAACTACCTGCAAATATATTGCATTATATATTACATACCATGATAATGGTGTATAACCGGTTTTGTGGCATTACATTAGATGCCCTCTAGCTATTGCTTGCCACAATATTTTTTTTTCGTTTTACCACTACTTAGTTAATAAACTTTGGCTACAGTTACAATATGCACATCTTTCTATCTGTATTTTTAAATCAGCTTTACTTTTTTTCATGAAACTAAAACATTTTTCAATGTTAAAAAATAGCATAAGAAGCCAACTTTAAAAAATGAAAAAATGCATGCCTTCCTAAACTGAACAGATGAAAATCTCTGAATTACCTGGACATGCATATTCACAAGCCAATTTATCAGTAAAGTTCATAGAATTTCTTACTTTCTGACTTATATACTTTTATATACTTTTAAAATTATTCCAGTAATCTAATGTAACATTAAAACCGACATACCATCAGAATCACTTTCTTCAGACTGTTGATGTTCCACACACTCTTCAAGTTTAGGGGTACCTAAAGCAAGCAAAAATTCATTCTGTGTACAGGATACCCTTTTTTCTGAATGGCCAGCCAATTCCTTTAAACACTGAAGTTTTCCAGTTTGGGCTAACTCTGCAAAACCTGAATGACTTGAGCCAACTGATGGAATTGGAGACAAAGATATTTCTGGCTGCTTTATGCTGTTGTTTGGACTCTGGCATTGTCCAGGACTTATATCTATTTGAGAAATCCCTGTTTCCACATTTTTTTCTTCATTTTCTGCCCCAGACAAAAGTCTTTTTTGCACAGCAGGAATGCATGGGCTTTTTTTAATATTTCCACCTTCCAATTTCTGTACTGGTAAAAGTTGTTTTTCATTCTGATCTTCAGGAACTGCTCCTTCTTCATCTGAACTGCTAGCAAAATGGTCCTTCCTGGACATTCTTTCTCCTTGAGTAATATTAGTCCTATTGATAAATGGTGCTGTGATCATCTCCTCCTCCTCCTCCTCCTCACATAATGCCTGTTGAATAGCCTTGATTGTTCGTGGAGACATGTTACTGCTGTCTACACTGGATGTGGACTCACACTTGTCTAAATTAAGGTGCTTCTTGTTTCTATCGTCCAACTCATCTTCTGAATCACTTCCCAATATAGCAGCCTGGATAGCAAGCATCGTTCTGGGAGATGGGGATGTTTCATAAGTACTACTGGTTGATTCCACTGAAAGGTCACATGAAACTGGCTTAACTTGCATGTCGTTACTGGCAATATTTTTGCTAGGTTTTAAATCTTTTGGCATTGCAGAAGAATGGATTGCAGATGTCACACAACTAGAAGTATTTCCTTTGGACTGGGTACCTGAAAGAGAAAAGGCATAAACAAAGGAATTTGATTCAAATGTTAAAAGAGTAAAATTCAAATGCAATTTTTTTAAAAGCATTACTTGAAACTAAGCTACAGTAGTCAGCTATCGTGGAACTCTCAATAGTACTCTGAATCTGGGGCATTCCCGTGATACCTTTTAATAGGATGTAATGAGAGGTATCTTCAGATACAACCCTCCTGGTTTCCAATTCTTTCAAGAAACCTCCATCTTCTTCATACTGATGCTGGATTTGGCCAGAGTGTTGTTCATTCATCTCCTTCTGCACTTTTTCTATGTGTCGATTTAAGCTGCTTTTCTTAAGCAAACCCTTGAGCTGATACTGGGAGAAGTCATTGGATTCCTTAAAAGAAATACTGGAATTAAATGACAGTCTGAAAGAACTAGACATCCTATATTTGTAGAAAACATATATTGACAAAAACAGGGTGTGCAACTAAAAGGATTTCTAGGGGCAAAAGCAACATCGTTTTAAAAATTTCCTCTAAGGATTTTAATTCGTTTTTTAACAGTACCAACATTCTGTGTATTGGTAGGATAAACTTAACATGAAAGCACATCTACTGACTTTGAAATACTTGAACATGAGTAGGAATAGTTCTTCTTCGTATATGACAAGTCCTTACCATAGTGTCATACAGGTAGTCCTCGGGTTACTACAACAACTGAGTCCAAAATGTATGTTGTTAAGTGAAACATTTGTTAAATGAGTTTGCCCCATTTTATGACTTTTCTTGCCATCGTTGTTAAGTGAATCAATGCATTTGTTATGTTAGTAACACAGTTGTTAAGTGAATCTGGATTCCTCATTGATTTTGCTTGTCAAAAGGTCTCCAAAGCTGATCACATGATCCAGCATACTGCAGCAGTCATAAATATGAACCATTTGCCAAGCATTTGAATTTTGATCATGTGACCAGAAGGATGCTGCAATGGCTAGAAGTGTGAAACATTTAGTGAACTGTCACTAAATGAACTATTGTAACTCAAGGACTACCTATACTGAGTCCCTGGCTGGAGACCCTGCAGCCAGAGAGCAAGGAAGGTTGCATTCACTGTGACAGCACATGCCGTATAGAACAGTATCCCTTTGGAAATCCAGGTGGCCTGTTAGCCTTTAGTAAGGCACTGAAGAGCCGTCTGTTCTCCCAACCATAACAGATTGGGCAAGTTTCATTGCTTTTATGAGGTAGGTTCATTGGTTTGACCTCAGGGGTCATAGTTTAGATGGTTAAATGAAATACACAGACACATAAATCATGCTTGTGTATGTTTGTATGTATGAGAGTGAGGGTATCATCAGTGCTGTCATTATTCATAAGTTGGGCATGATGATGTTACCTAGTTGGGAATGAAATGTCTGCAAACAAACAACCAAGCTCAGAGAACACCAAGAACTCTACAGTTCAACCCTGAGCTAGATATTCTCTTGTGTGTGTGTGTGTGTGTGTGTGTGTGTGTGTGTGTGTTTATACGTATGTATGTATCCATCCATCCAGCTATCTAATCTACCTATCTGAAAAACAACTCACCAGGGAAACACCAAAACTTTACTTTTGCTATTACTTTTACAATTGGTATTTTAACTGTTTATACTAGGTCAGCTGCTTTTATTGTTTTACGAAACAGCCAAGATAAAAATGTAACAAGAATCTATAGTACAAAGTACAAAGCCAGCAGTTAAGTGCACAAATAATAAAATCTGCCTAAAAGGAAACTTCACTTACTGTAAATTGTCATTCAAACTATCCAGGGATTATAAATGATAACAAATATCCTATTTCCCAAGGTATCCTCGTTTAAGTAGTCATCGTATGAATGTCCTACTACTGAAATACTACTACTCTACACTCAGTATTATTACCCAAGTATTTTCAACGTTATTATTTAACAAAGATACAAGGCACCCTTCTGCTTGAAAAGGCAAAGGAAAGTCTGTCCAATACCTCAGGCATGGCTTCAAATAATGTTCTTCTTCGTTTAGTGAATTCCTTCATGTCAGTCAGGATCTCGTGTTTTATTTCAGGAGGCAAGCTCAAGAAATCGTCTGATTCAACATCTACAGAACGAGGGTTTTCAAGCAATTCTTTCTTTGGAAAGGAGGAAAGAGGAGCACAAAAACATTTTGTAAAACGAGTGACATAAGATATGCATGTAGGTTAGGCAAGAAGCATAAAAAGGATTAACCAAACCTCCTTTACACTGATTGAAGATGGTTTTCTGAAACAAGTAGCAGAATGTTGTAAACACACATTAGGAAGTTAGTGGATCAGCATTAGAAAAGAGTCCATCCAGTATCAACTTTTGTCAATAAAGTCCAAAGTACACCTCTGGTATATTGGGGGGTGGGGGGGAAGACAACACTGAATTGGGATGTTTTCAGATTAAAGAACAAATCTGCCCCTTGTGTTTTCCTTAAAGTCTGAGACAAAATTTGCCCTTCTAAGACCGTTTTTTATTATTATAAGAGGAGGAAAAATCAGTCCAACTATGAACTTCCGGTTTGAGCTTCTTCAGCGACAAACCGAAACCTCGTTTCTGCGAGGCTTCGATCCGTGCTCGCCGCTGGAGTGCCCCGAGCCGGCTGGTTCCGGGGCTAAGCCACCCCGTAGAGGTGGTGAAGAAGGGGGAGACTGCCTGCAGGGTTGAGGAGAGCCGCATCTCTCCTCCCCAGCTGGCCATTACTCCCTTTCCCGAAGGCGGTTGTAGCGGTGATCAGAAATGGTCACCACAAAGAAGAACTTGACCGGAAAAGAATGTGCAGGAGGAAGATAAGAAGAGAAAGTTTTGGTTGACCAAGTCAAACAGCAAAAGCAACAAAAAATAGAGTGAAAAATAAGTATAAAATCAGAAAGCAACGGAAGAGGGAAATGCAGAACAGAGAATTAGAAGTAGAGAGACAGGGGGGTAAAAAGGGGAGGGAGAAGAAGAGAGGGAAGAAAGAAAGGAAAAGAAGTTATAAAGGACAGAAACAAAATATAGAGAAAGGGCCTATTTAGAGATAATGGGTGAAAATTTAATGGAAAAAGGGATTCTGCAAAGGTACATAAGATAGTATTGTTATATTAGAAACAGAAATAATTTTAGAAAATATGAAACAATGTATGATTAAAATGTTTGATAAAATAGCTATCGTAATTCAGTGGAATGCTTGTCAATAAATAAATGTAACAAAATGAATATCTAATGATTTACAAAACATATGTGAAGAGAAATAAGGGAAAAATTAATTATGGAGATTATATGTGTCTTTAAGGAAGTATGATATTTAATTGAAAAGAAGTGTTAAAGATGTTAAGATTTTAATGATTATTAATGATAGAACTGAATTGGATTCGAATGAGGGTTTATAATTACATATATTTATAATCTTTTGTTTTTAAAGAATATAGGGTGCATTATAAGAATGTACCAAGCAGAATTCGATTGGAAGTTATGTATTATATTGATGGTCATAACCTTAAGGTATATACTGAAGTTTAAATAAGAGTTGAATGGATATAATTAAAAGATATAAGGGTGTCATACTCCAATTAGTAACTACAGGAGAAAATTTGTTTAATGAGAAAAGATAATATGAAATTGAAACAGAACAGACAAAAGTATAAATATAATGATTTGAATTGAGATGAGATAATCAAAATAAAACTGAGAAAATTAAAAGAGGGGGAAAACTATATAGAAAATGTAGAATAGTATAAGATATGAAATAGAACACAAAAAGGGGCATGAAATTGAGTTTTGTGTCTGTATAAAGAAGTTCAACCTGGGACCATGCTATTTTCAAAAAAGATGTTTTATTTGTATTTTGTATGTGTGAAAACCCAAATAAAATTTTATTTAAAAAAAAAAGACAAACTATAGGGCATCTCTGATGCCATGCCACAGACCACAAGATGAAAGTACATATGAAATATAGGGTCCTCTTGTATATCTAAGGAAGAAAAGCCAAGAGACCTAGCTTGTTATCACAAGGATCTGTTAATATGCTTTGACATATCAGTTTCTAGAAATAATGCAGGAAGGTGACTATTGTCCTCACAAATCTTCCCCTATGAATTTCCCAGAAACACTTGGTTGACCATAGTGGGAAAGCAAAATGCTAGAGTACATTGGTCAAAAAAATATAATTATAGCAAACATGATTAATGAAGTGATTAGAGTCAGCATCAAAACCTTGTTCCTCCTGATTTGCAGCTTAATCCCTTTTTGTTTCACTATCCTATCCTTATTAATTGCATTATGAAAGCTAGTTTTTAAGAAACCCAGTATTTTATAGGTCCAAAAGTTTATGCAGAAGTTTCCTACTTACTCAAAATTCTTCTCCATTTATGTGTGCTGTTGCCCGAATCCTGCAGCACAATGAACTGAACTTTGGGACATTTTCCAAAATAGAAATAAAGTATTTTTTATTAAATTTCAGACAGCATCACAAGCCTGTGAGGGTTAAGCCTCTATTTCAACTAGACCAGTATTGTCTGCTCTGTCTAGAATGAGTTTCTAATGATCTCATGCTAAAATCTGTACCAGTTCAACTGCTTTTAAAATATGTAATCTTCTAACTTACATCACACAGTCTTTTACAAGCCAAGAGCTCTGCTTCAAAAATGAGTATGCTAGGGACAAATCTACACATAGTCTTCAACTTACAACCATTTGTTTAGTGACTGTTCAAAGTTACAACAGCACTGAAAATAGTGACTTATGAATGTTTTTCACACTTATGACCATTGCAGCATCTTTGATCATGTGATCAAAATTCAGATGCTTAGCATGTATTTAACATCTCGAGGTGATATGATCACCTTTTGCAACCTTCTGACAAGCAAAGTCAATGGGGAATCCAGATTCACTTAACAAACATGTTACCAAGTTTACATTGCAATGAATCACTTAACAATTGTGGCAATAAAGTCTGTAAAATGAGGCCAAACTCACTTAACAACTGTCTTGCTTAGAAACAGAAACTTCAGCCTCAATTATGGTTGTAAGTTGAGGACTACCTGTATATTCATTTTAACTAAGTACATGTAACCAACCATTAGTTCCTCAACATATTTAATATGTATCCTGTCATTAAAAACAACAATTTGGAACCAATTTTTGAGCCATCTGAGAGAATCCCACTGAAGTCATTCACAGCTCATAGATCTAGCACTATATGAAGTGCAAACAACCAAATTCAGAGAAACTGTAGCTTCAAATTCTGGCGTATTAGAGGACCCATGGTTCGTAGTTCTAAACCAAAATTAAACAAACCATGGGAAGAAGTTCTAGCTTACTGTGCCATGTAAAGTGGTCTAGTGTTTTTCAGTGCAGCATACGGACTTCTTGATCCTTATGAATCACAGGGAGTTGGGCAGCAAATAAATGCAATAACTTTTAATATTATGTTGATCGCACCAAACCAGTTGCCTAGACTGTATTTGACATTTCAATCGGTTAATGAAAGTTTTTTGGGGAAAAACAATTTAGTGTAGTTTTGTTACTATATATACAATGTGAGGTCACAGCTGCAGATCTTTAGTTGGTGTTGGCCTTCACGCACACTGATTTCTTCCAAAGAACCTAGGATGCCATAATGTATCAGCATAATGTATCTGCAGATCCAAACAGTGTGGCCATTTATAGATGACAGATGGAAATTTGCCGATATGCAGATTTTCTAAGTCCTGTTCAAGATCTTTTGGTATGGCACCCAATATGCCAGTAACCACTGATATCACCATTATTATTACTACCCATTTGTTTTGAAAGGATTGCAATGTAATATAAAATACATAGGGGCCTTACTTGCAATATTTTTTTCTGGGTCATCCTTTCTTCCCACTCTTTTTCATCTTCCTCTTCTGAGCTAGATCATTTCAAAAAAACAGAACTAATTTAATAAATGACAAAATTTGTCCACAGAAAATGAAAGAGTATTTTAGATTATATTGCTTCTTACTGTTTACATAATAATCTATTTTTTTAAACTTGTTTCACTCACCTGTCTTTTTTATCTTCTTGTAAGGCAGGGAGCACATAAATGTCATCCACCTCTTTCCTTCTCACCTCTGCAAGACTAGGAAATTCAGAATTGCTGGGAATATAAGGATATTTCATGTTAGGGAAACCAAAATACTTAAAAATTGAAAGTTCCCCATAGGCATTTATAAACAGAGGTTTATAAATAAGGTTGTTCTTGCCTCTTTCCTGATAAAGCAGCCTTGATCGCTTGTCGTTTCAGGAAGGTTTTCAAAAGCTTCTCCTTAGTTTTCTCTGAATCTGTGACTGCAGCTTCTTTTTGCTGCTTACGTTTAGCCTGCAATACATTGAGTAAAATACTTTGTAGTCATTACTTTTATTAAAACCCTTAATTTGTCTCCCACCTTGTTGCTAGCATGGCTGTTCCAACAACTTGGAGATCAAGAAAAGGCAATTCTTGTCCTCGGAATTACCACACAAAAAAGGAAACGGATTGGGAAGTCTACAGAAAAAGGGATATTTAGCTACGGATTCTTAATGATACACAAATGTTGTAATTACTGGAAGGGATTAGTGCAAACCCCACTGGAGTGGAAATTGCTCAGAGGAAAAGCCCACAATTAGCGGTGGCTCATCTGAATGAGGGCATGACCTTATTCCATACTGGAATCCTAGTATAACTGCTGTTGGAAGAAGCAGCAAAGCCCAATGAAGCTAAATTCGCTGTGATTATTTTCCTAAATTTAATTCTCATTTCAGTGAAGACAGTAGATTGACAAATGCCTTTCTTTTTAAAGTATTCCTTAGACTGCTGACTGTGACTGTGGAAGACAACTGTATTGGTCTGAAGTTTGAAATTACTGGTCTTTCTATGCGTCCCTGCATCAAATGGCTTTTCTTCCGTATTCTCTTGCACAGCCTAGCCAAGTAAGGCCTTAATTTTCTAAAAGAAAGCCTTCAAGAACGTCTGTCCCTCTGCCCCACCCTACATCTTCTGATGTAGCCTAATTTGGGAATGTTCTTTCTTCTTTCTAGATGGGCAGCATATAAATATAATAAATAAGTGGCTTGCCAAAGCCAGTCACTGACAAGGACGTTTTTGTTTTGCTACTGCTCTCTCAGTAGCAATTGTTAATTGATAAGTAAGAAGCCTATGTAATAAATGCACTTAACTAAAAATATGAGTAAATACATAATTTCTTGGACTCCTTCTAAAGTTGAGCTTCTGCTAACTTAGGAATAATACTATGCTTTAGATGAAATAATTTGGGGAACAGTTTTAAAAAGGATAAGATTCCCAGCTGGTGAGGGATACAAGATGCTCCTCTACAGAATGTTGCCATGTTCTGTTTTATTTCTTTGCCTAAAAATTTCTTTTGCTTTGTTTATCAAATTTGTCCTTACAAAATTTTGTTTACAAATTCTGTTTTGTTTACAAAATTTGTCCTTCCAGTTTTCACTTTGGGTACTCATTGTTTTTAAATATACCGCCCACATTTTGTTGTGGTAAATACAAATCAAGTTATTCCAAAATCAGACCATTAGTTTCAAAAGCAAGTCAGAGGGATTTAATACAACAGTCTGAATCATAAAGAAAACAAGATTTTAATTCCAGTCTCTCCTATTCCTTTATTCTATTCTTGCCACAGTTGCTAAATTCTCTAATCCTTGGTTTCCCTAAATTTGCTTATGTGAAAGTAACATGTATTGAACTTAGTAATTCCAACTTCAATGGAATTGTGAGCGGGATAGGTATGGCTTACATACCAAAGTTTGCCTCTTCAATAGAGGAGCTTCTCCGTCAAAAACAAAAATGGGACGGATCCGAAAGAAGAGCAGTTTGCAAAGTCGGCGAAACAATATGAGGAGATGAGCATTATGGATGGAATTCCCATGACGGTCTCTTGCTCCTTTAATAGCTTGATTCAACCAAATACTAATATCTTAAGAAAGCATTTAAAGGAAGACAACAGAAAAATGACATATACAAAGAAGCATTGATCTGTTTAAACATACCAATCATTCATGCTTACATAATCAGCATTTTACGAAGCACATTTTATTAATTTTCCTAAGATTGTAAAACCGATATATCAGGTAAATTTAACAAGACTGAAAATAAAATATTGGCATTCAATATTTATTGACTGGAGAAAATCAGCAATTATACATGAAATCTATTAAAACGTTCTTAAGGAAGCTCATTTTTTAAAGGATACCAACAGCAAGAATTTTTCCTTCCAACGTTTCTGGGTTTATAGGTCTTCCTGAGCATTCCAGTAACTTCCAAAGCCCATGAACTCCCATTGTTCCTTAGGTAATATAATGAAAGTAAAATCTGTTGAAAGCAACAAAATATTGGTAATTGCTTATATATTAAATATGACAATCATAACATTGTATCTATTAGCTTACTGCAGAACTGCAATCTTGCTAGACAATTTAAAAATATTTAACTCAAGTTTTTTCCAAACTTGTGCCTTCCAAAGAAATTGTTTCCTCCCCAATTATTAGCCATGTTGAATAATGACAGAATTAAGAAACCCACAGGTAACTGCACAATTTGGGGAAGGCCTGATTTATCTGAACAGGAACTTTAAACAATAGCTTATTTATTAAAATGTCAGTTTTTCTACTAAAAATATGTGAAAACAATAGTACTTAGATAAAATAGCTTAATGAAAAGAAAACTGGTCAAGAAGCAACACCCTCCCTCACATCATTATCTATAAACCAATAAATCAATAGTTAAACCTTACAAGAAAAGGAATAATACTTATAAAGGATTGCTTTCTTCATATATATTTTGATTTAATTCAACCAATTATGAATATTGCTTTAAATGAGCAGTTTTTTTAAAAATAGAAATAATCCTTGAATCAACTACAATACATATCCACCTCAGGTGCTACATTACCTAATCAACATTAGTATTCACATGTAAAACTGTGTAAAATAAATATATTATAAATAACTTCGTAAAATATTATTCTGCAGTTTTACTAACATAATTCATTTTTGCTCCGTTACCTCAGCAAGATGGCAGCTGACAAGCAGAAAAAGTCCTAATCAAATTACAAGATTGTTTAAGGGTTTGAAGTATATATTTTTAATTACTCCTGAATTAGCATTGGTCTGAATTATTTAAAAGGATTTTTCCCCGTAAGGACAAATAAGAGATCTGGTGCCATTAAAGCGCTGGTAAGACAATTTCTCTGGTAGTCTTGGAAATGCTATCAAATGTCTTCGCTTTGAAGAGGAAATCCAATCCCAACTCCAATTCTTTTAAGTGCCTTGCCTTGACTGCGCAGATACAAACCCCTAACCTGCTTTGCATTTTGCATTTCTCCTCTGTGCTTTAGATCTCCTAAGACAAATTCCCCACTGCAATCTTCTCCGGGACGCAGGGATTTTCTTTTTTTACTTTTTCCTACAACTCCCGTAAAGCCATTATGGTCCTTGTGTAATCGCTCCTGCTGCCTATCAAACTTCCGACACCGAAACCAGAATTCACTTGGGCGAAACTTCTAATAAAAGGGACTTGCTGCAACGCAGGGCGAAAAGACCGACGAACCTTAATTGGTGTAAAGCGAAGATAAGCTTGAGTGGGAAAATAAAATAAAACGTGAAAAAAATTGGGCCGAATCCATCCGGGAACCTAGAAGATACAGGGAAGAACGTAAAGCGCCGCTCACCCAGACAGCGCCATGTTATTACGTCACAAATAGACTGCACTGCCCGCTGGGAGATGTAGTTCTTACAGAGGCTGTGAGAGAATCAGGACGAGAGAAACATGTAAGGAGTGCTTCTCTCGTTTTTGCAACCGCAGAACTGTCATTTCTTCATTTTTTCCCTTCTGCTGTCCCTTAACATTGGAAGAATTTTGCTGAGAAACTAGGATCAAAAAGCAGCTGCCATAAATTCTGAGTCTGCACACTACAGACGCGCTCAGAATTACTTAGAAATAAGGGTAGAGATCCAAGGCGATTTTTTTTAAAGCAAAAACACGACGTAATGTAATTTGTTGCTTCCTTTTCCTGCTCCCCCCCCCCCCCAGTTCTTCTTCCGAACCTAGTGTTTTCTGGCTTTCCCATTCCAATGTTACCAGCTTTGTCCTACTTAATTTTTTAAGATCAGGCTAGCAAGCTGTTCTGAACGCCTGAACTACTTCCCAGTAAACATGTACATTCCTGCTCCCCATTCCTTTACCATTGGAGAGTGGGATGCTAAGGTTAAACAAAAACTAGAATCAGAGTAGGGTTTGGTAATCCATTCAGAAAGATTGGCTCAGACAGAAATTCAGATAAGCAACAAACAAAAAGGTTGACAGGCAACCTTGCCAGGCAGTGGTTCTTCCCGATACGGTCGGACGCTCAACTCATCCCGGGCAGAGCCGTTCGGGAAAGATCAGCCTTGGCACAGAATCCCCTCCATAGCAAAGAGGCGCCTGACCCGCTTCATCCTTTCGAAGGACTCGCGCCCCCAACGTGCAATGTGGGAAGCGGCAACCCGGGTCACCATTTCGGCCAAACGGGTCGAGCCAGGCTTTATCAGGGTCCCGGGAGAAAAGTAGCGAAATAGTACTCGAACTGCGCCAGAGAGCCTCTTCTGGCTGCCCTGGGGAGCCCCCCCCCCCCCCCCCCCCCCCTCCGCGCCCCCCCCCCCCCCCCCACGGGCGCGCAACCCGCCTGCCTCCATTCACCGAACTGGCCCCCTTCCCAGCCGGCGTTTTTCCCGCCACCAAGAGCGCGTCTACCCCAGCAAACCCCCCACCTTGCTCCTCCTCCTAATACCAGCCCCGGCCGAAGCGACCCCTAGGTAGGAAAAAAAAAAAAAAAGGCGTTGGAGTAACCAGAGGAGAAAGGGAAGTGACGTCACAATGGGTCGTTCCCGCCCAATCATAAAGCCCCTGCTCTCGCCGCCCAATTGCAGCTCACGCCCGCCATATGGCAGCCAATGAGCGCGCGGCATTCCGGCGCCGGCAGGAGGGGTTTGTCTGGCCGGGAGGGAGGGGAGAGGTTCCCAAGAGCTCGGCAGTGGCGGCGGCTCCGCCTTCCTGTGGTCGGTGCGCGGCCTCGCGTCCCCTTCTTCCTCCTCCCCGCCCGGCTGGCCCCTCTCTCTCTGGCAGCCATGGCGGCGGCAGCGGAGCAGGAACAGCAGCAGTTCTACCTCCTCCTCGGCAACCTGCTTAGTCCGGACAACGTCGTCCGCAAACAAGCCGAGGTGAGCGACTCGCGCGGCTCCCCCTTACGCCCGTCCTCTCCTCCGGCCCCGCCGCGCACGAGGTTTTCGCTCCTGGCCTTTGCCTGTCAGCAGTGGCCGCGTCGCGGAGGGCCTCCGCCGGGCCCACGTGCTCCGGCCAAGCCGGCGGCCGTTACAGCCGTTGGCCGGGAACTAGAACCCAGTTCGGGGGCGGGGGGGGGAGGAGAAGAAGCCAACTGCTCTTCCCGCTAAACTCCGGCCGAGTCTTCTTCGCCGCCGCCGGCGCCCGGTTGCTCTCTGTCGCCCATCCTCGGCTCCGATCCCCGGTTCAAACGCCCCCTCTCCCACCCACAGATCCCCATGGAGGTTTTCTCTCCCTCGCTGATGGCCGCGGAGCCGGCTTCTCCCTCCGCCGCGGAGCCGGCTTCTCTCCTGCTCGGTCCCCATTTTCTCTGGGTTTCCCCCAGCTCTTGTTACCCCGCTCGCCACCCCACCCCACCCCCATCTGATGCTTCGCTTTACGGTCCTGACGCTTGTGATTCGGACAACGACAACCTCCACCAACTCTTCAACAACTAACTTAAAGAGTCTCTGTTCCCGCCACCCTGTTTGGGATGAATGAGAATGATAATACTGTACGTGAAAGAGCGAAGGTTGTAACTGATGAGTAATTAAATGGGGGAGGGGGTAGTAAGTTAAGTAATGCATACAAAGGAGGGAAACTCCTCGGCTGCCCAATTGATCTCTTGTTTCTATGGTGCTTAATAATATTTGTATTATGCCGGGCTGGGAAATGGCTAAGGAAGTGAGGAATGAGAACTAGTGTCTTGGCTGTTGTCCTTAAGTACCACACTCGCAGTAGAAGGAGCATTGTGAACTAAGTTCATTTACAGTTTCCAGTAAAACAAAAAGCGAGGGAAATATTTCGGCTTCCCATAATATTCTGAGCTCAAGATGCTGGCCTTGAATAAAGGAATTATGGAGATAGATTTCATTCAGAAACTAGCTGAATTGAAAATTATATAGAAGGGTAAAAGGGCTGCTGTTTCCCACGAATTAGACTTGAAACCATGGTTTCTTTTCATAATGCAGGGACATGCTATACCTAACTGCTTTATTACTCTGGTTCTGAATAGTCTTTTTTATTATAAGTTACAATTCCAAACTGCAGGATTTCTCTATAATTAGTATAAAGGGATAATACTTTTTCTGCTCCAGATTGCTTTTCATTCTTTGTTATTTTTTAAAAAAAATAGTGGGGAATCTTTGTCCCTCGAAATAAATGCCAGTGCCTGGGTTAGAGTTTTCTCATTGTATGGCTGTGGCTGGGCTTTTATCATTTACATCACTTGAGTGATCAGTAGAGTTCAGCACATTCTTTCACTGTGAATAGTTGTACAAAAAGCTGTTCTCAGTGCCCAAATGTAAAACAATATGGTCTGATTTTTCTTTCTGGGTCTGAAATAGGCACCCATCATTCAGAGTCAAAATTCTGCATATCATTGCAATCTGTTTAAGTACTAGGAGTATAAAATCTGCTAAAAATTAGACAAAAGAAGCAGCAAATGGGGGAAAATAAAAGTATGACCAGATTCTAAAGAGTTTTGTGAAATAAGATGTAGAAACAGGCATAATATATGAATAAGATGGCAAATTATCAGTATAAATATTGCCTGATTGTGATAATGTCCCAGTTTTTACTGTGGCAACATATACAAAGTTCCATGTTCTGAGTTCCATATCTGAATATTTAAATGTTAGATACAAAAAGTAGGGGGATTGTTTCCTGGATAGTCTTGAGAGTTTCCAGAATCACTGGCTATATAAATCCTATTCATTACCATATAGTTCTAAACCACACTGCAGGACACTGCTGTAGTGAAATCCTGAAAGCCCAGATCAATAAAAACCTTCAGGTTATACGAATAGCAGTATCATCTGAAAAGGTTTGTGAGCTACTATGATGATCATCTATGTGTATGTTAAGAGAAAGGAAAATGTTGTCTTTTTCAGCAGTGACAGCTGCTTCATTAATACCATTAGTGCAAGTTTATGGCTGTTTGTGCAGGTTACATCATAGATTCCACACAACAATGATGCTTATATGAGATAAGTAACTGGAGCGCCATCCACAAACATTTGCATTTTACACCAGGTAGCTGGATAACATGTATTCACAGACTTCGTTAAAATACATGTATAAGAAATAAGATCTTGATTGCATTTATATAACTACTAAAACTAAAAACTACCATATTTATAAGCCTCAGCAGCTTTAAAATTTGATATAAGAAACCAGTTGTTGATAAAAGCTAACCTGGCATGTCTGGAATCTATAAGTTGAGCACCTCTTATTTAATGAAATAATAAATTTAAGCAATCATTTCTAACCACTTTTAACAATTATAACCATTTCTTGAGTAATTTATTGATGACTTTTAAGCTCTGGTTGCCAGAATTCAACAAGATCCTACTGCCAAAATGTAGCAGCAAACTTTCTTAATAAAAGTATGACTTTTTTAAAAAAATTATTGGGCAGAAATAAAACAATTGTGCTGAACTGTAATCAAAGACACTGCCACAGACTGGTGATGCTCAGAGTTGTGGCTATCACTTCAAGGCATAAGACCTGATTTTTGAGGATCCACCTGTACCTCATAGTTTTCTGCTTGACCCACATGATCTGTCACTATGCTTGAAATATCACTTTTAAACAGTGTCATCCAACAGGACTCTAGAAGTGGTCTTTTCTCTCATGGCACCTACCATCTCTAGAACACTTCTGATATTATGGGAGGAGTGACAGACCCAGGACAGAGTTAAAAGAAAGATCACCCTAGAATCCCGACATAGCCAAAAGTAAACTAAATTCCCCTCTCCAATTATGTAGATCCTTATCTAACTGCAAACAGGTGTTAACCATTAATTGAGAAGATTCCTGTGCAAAGGTTGTTTAGCAATAAATCAGTTTAATTGGACATTATCCACCTCCTTAAATGAGCCCTTAAAAAAAATAAGCCCTAAGACCTACCTGTAAAAGTCAAAGCTGATGAACCATTTGTATGATGTTTTGATTTTTTAATGTTTGCTGCTTATTTTCTGAACTTTCTGATTTTCATTATTATTATTTTTTAAAGAAATATGGTATCTGGTAAGTTTAAAGTTGTAATGTATTGAGTTGCCCTATAAATCTCATAAATAAGTTCTATTGCTGTTGTATTGAATGTGGCTTTCAGTGGCTGAAAAAATTCAAACTGCAGCCTCTGGATGGCAAATGTTACTCACTCATGTTCTAAGTAATTGGAAGAGTATTAAACAGCACTTCATAGCACATCAGTGTTAGAACATTTTGCAACCTGGTACTTTCCAGAAAACTTGGGCTATTTTCCAAAATTTGTAAGATTCACCCTGATGGGTACAGCATATTAATTTATTGCCAAGGTCATTTGAAGATCACCAGATTGACATCATTATGACATATCATAGCTAATAATGTTGATAATGTACTAATGTTGATAGTACTAAAAAGCAATAAATTTTGTTTTAAACTTTCCTAGGAAGAAAAAAAATAGGATTAAAACAAAGTTATAATTTCTTTTAACTAGCTGCTGTATATCTTCATGACCTTCATTAGCAGGATCATATTTGAGAGGAAGAAACAGACTGAATCTACATGAGTAAATTCAATATATTTCTCTGAAGCAGAAGAAAATCTTTGGGTGTCTTCCTTATATGCTTTAGAATTATTTTTTGTGAATTAAAGGTTCCTTTCATATTATAATTTCTCTTCCGTTTGAGATTTGAGGTCTTGTATCTTTCCCAATATAGTACTTCATATTCCTGCTTTGAGTAAAATAACTACTATAACAGATTATTTGTATATCTTAAACAGTTATCTACTTAAAGCATATTAAGTGGCTGTTAAGTCTTGATACCTCATTTTTTTAATGCTAAACTGTCTCTGATCTTTTCTTTTTTAGGAAACGTATGAGAACATACCAGGCCAGTCTAAGATTACGTTCCTTCTACAGGCTGTCAGAAATACTTCGGTTGCCGAAGAGGTATTTTTCACCCTAAGGAACTTA